GAGGCGTCTGAAGGATTTGAGCAGTGGGTGTTTTCCTCTGGGGCTGCTTCTGCCCCAACAGAAATGCTTTCAAAGCCTGGAGGCAGACTCTGATGGGGTTAGAGTGGACGTGCCTGGCAGAGGCTGGGAGAGGGTCGTGGCAGCTCCAGCTCCTGCCTACCTTGACTGTGGTTGCCACTGGAAGTGCCTCTGGCTTTTGGCAGGCCTCGGCGAACGCACTGCCCTGCCGAGGTTGGTGTGGGCAGCAGGACATCCTCCAAATGTACTGTGAAGGCTTCTGGGCTGCAGTGCTCTGCCCAGGCATCGCTCACCGCTTCCCTGAAAATGCTCCGGGTAAATGGCTCCTGGAAGGCAGAAGGCATGCCATGGCATTTTGTGGCAAAAGCCCCCGGAGATGTGGTGCTGCAGAGAATTTGTGTGTCTGTAGATGGGAGTGTTCCAGGGCTGGAAGCAGCAGAGCTGCAGACCTTTGAGAAAGGGACGTGAGTGCTGGCAGGTCCTGCTTCTGGGTTCAAGGAGCCAGGAGAGACGTGTACATCATTTTCTCCCTCATAAATATTAATGCAGCCCCCCTGCAAAAGTGCACAGGTTTAATTAATGAAATATTGATTTTTCTAGAGTGCAGTGCTTCTCTAATTGCCTTGCGCCAACTGGGATCCGAAACAAACACGGGCAGCAGCTCTTGGCCAAAAATGGGGCCTGGCAAAGCCTTTACTGTGGTGTTTTTTGGAGTGCCAGAGGTTGCTCTGCCCACCCTCGGGTCTGAGACAGTAACTGAACCTTCAGTGTCCCTGCCTATGGCGGCTCAGGCCTCCTCCAGGAGGGTCCCGTGGAGGGGGAGCTGGGTCCCCTGCCTGCCAGGAGACCTCACTACTGGCTTGCCATCTGCAAAATAACTTTTTACCCTATTGCAGGATGATCACAGGGGCTTGGGTGGCCCCTGGGAGCTGTAGATCTGAGGGATCTGCTTCCCCCTCCTGGAGAGGAGAGCCATGAGCATGGGAGGGCTGTTGGCTGTGCAGGCAGCCGGAGTCCTGGGCTGGCTGTGCCTGCCCAAGCCCATCGTGATGCAGGGAAGGCTGGATTCAAACACTGCAGGCTTCTCCTGCCTCGCCTCACCCCTGCAGAGCAACGCCGGCATCCCTGGGGCTGTGTGCTCGCCTCCTTTGCCACAGCGCGAGAGCAGAAGCCATCCCCTGGTGCAGCCTGGTGCCAAGCCCTGTCAGCATGCTGGGGCTTGGACCGTGCAGTCCCCCGGCTCGTGGCAGCAGGGCAGCCCCAGAGGCTACTTTGGCCATCACGCAGTGTCGCAGAGGGAGGGCGAGGGGACTGTGCCAGCCCAGGCTGTCAGGCGGCAGCAGCTCCATGCTGGCACCAGTCGCTGGCACGGTGAGGGCGGATGCTTCCCTGAGTGTCCAGCACATGTCCCCAGGCTCATGGAGGCTGTTTTAACCAGCGTGCCAGGAAGACCTGAAAGCTTTTGCTGCAGCCATCTTTCCAGAGCATCCTTGCTCTGCTCCCCCTCATACCTCCAAGTCCCCAGGATGCTGCCCAGGGACCCTGTGGGTGCTTTCTCATAGCAGCACCCTTCACAATGCTGTTGAACGGCTGTTGTGATGTAGGCAGAGCGGCCTAAACTGTCCTTCATCTTCCTTGGGAAACCCCAGGACCTGACTGGGAGGATGCGCTGGGCTGTGCCAGGCCTGGAGGCGCTGGATTTGGGAGCGGTCACAGTGCACGAGGCACCCTCCTTCTTAGTGTGCCACTGTCCTCAGCTGTGGGGTGGCAGTTTTGCCCCTTGTGCCCCACTGCCTGCCCTGCCAGAGGGGTCTTGCCTGCCAGGGCGGCGGTGAGACACCGTGCCTTGGTCCTTGCAGGCCACGGCAGGAGCAGGATGGTGTGAAGCTCCCTGTGGTGGGACTCGCTGATCCTGGGGTCCTGCCACCCCCTCCTCTCGTGGCCCCACTGCAGCTCCCATGGCAGCTCTGCCCCTATTCTGTCAAGGGCCAGCAGGTTACAGCCACGACAGTTTTTAATTAAATCAAGCCGCACTGGCGCAGCGGCCCAGCCGTGCCCATCTGTTCCTCCAAGCTGTCAGGCACGGAGGCGAGCCGAGTATCTGGGCCAGGCTGGAGGGGCTCTGCCGCAGGGACCGGCATGGGGCTGTGGCCCCCCACCCCGCACGGGCCACCAGCACGCGTCCACAGGCGAGTGAGCTGGGCATGGGTCGGCAGCTCTTGCAAAAGTGTGGCCGCTGGGACATTGGAGACACGTCTTGATGGTCTTGGCTGTGTAGCTGTGAGCCAGAGAGCAAGAAGGGGAGTCGTCAACAAGGCTGAGCCAGAGCTTCAGTGAGACTGTGCAGTGCCCTGTGTGTCACCTAGTGCAAGGGGGGGGTGGCATCACCTGGCCTCTGCTGCAGGGGAAACACACCTTTCCCTGTTTAACCTCTCCCCACACCAATACTTTAATGAGGCCAGTGCTGTGGCAGGTAATGGTAATTGTGTTAAGAGGTTGGGTCTGTTCTACATGGTTTTTAGACCATGTCCTAAATTGCATCCAAGTTGTAGTGTTTTGAGTTTGGACAACGGTGGCTTGCAACAGCCTAATCCCCTAATTACAGTAGTAGTAGCAGCACAAAGGCATTGCTAACCAAATTAAAACAAGCTGACAAACAGATCTCCCCAGTCAGGAGGAACAGATGAAGAGCCACGGCCTCAATCCCTGGCCAAGCTGCAGACCCCAGTGTGTGACATGGCAGAGATGTGTCCCCCATGGCTAGGGGGGCTGTCCTTCTCACCTGGTGCTGTCCCCAGCATCAGGGGCCCTGGTGGTCCTCTCCAGAGTTCTTGCCATGCCCAGGCCTTGAGTAGGATGGAGATGTGCCAGGGAAGAGCCTGGGCTGTGATCAGCTGGGAACAGGCTGTGGAGTGAGGCTTGGGCTCTGGCCGGCTGGTATGCAAGGAAGGCTTAGTCACTGCCTGTAAGTGTCTGCAGGGAAGGAGGTGGGAACCAGAGCTCTTCAGCCGACTGGGCAGGAGTGTCGCAATGGCTGAGGGCTGGCCATCAAACCCAGGCAGGTGAAGAGGAGCAAAATTTTGGTAGCAAGCATGAAACACTGGCATTAGTGATGGGGAGTTTCCTGGAGCTGGAGAGAGTCTTTACCCTGGGAATATTTTTAATCCAAATTTGATGCATCTCTGGCTGCTGGGAGTGGGCAAGGAGGGATTCATACACTTTCCAGCCCGGGCTTTCATGGAGTTTGATGTGAGCCAAGCGGTCCCTGGGAAGCATGGCAGCCTTGTCTTCCTGCCTTCCTCCAAAACATCTTCACTCCTTCCTGCTCCCTGCAATAGCTTTGGGGAATTTGCAGTGTGAGCAAAAGAAGATATTTCCCTTCACCATTCTGAGTGGAAAATGGGAAAATTCAGCTGAAGTTGCTTCTACCGCTCTCCTTCCAGTAACTAGAGCTTCTCCCAGGCAGTGAGTATCGCACAGGAAAACAACCACATGAAATTGGGACTGCACTGCACCCTGCATGGGCACACAGGCAGGACTACCCAAGGCTTGGGGGTCCTGAGGCCTAGTCCCTGCCTAAACATCAGTAACTTGGGCAGGTAGAAGACACCACTTAGTGAAGAACCATGTCCAGCACGTGAGCGAAGTGCAAATAGCAGCAGCATCCGTTTTCCTCCCTCTTGTCTGTGTGGCTGCCTCTGGACTCAGCTGGATGAGGAGGGTTTGCAGCCCCCAGGCTGGGAGAGACTGTCCTCTCCTCCCAGTGCTGCTCAGCTCACTGGCACATGAGCGTTCCCAAAATAGCTGTCCTTGGGACAGGCGGGGTAGTTATCTGATCTGTTGCTGCTCTTCTCTGCCCTTGGGCTGCTCGGCACCATGGAGCCCTCCGAGGAGTCTGAAGGAAGCAAAGGACAATGTCTTTGCTGAGGAAATGCGGCCTGGGAAGGGACATGCCCAGCCCATGAGCAGCGTGAGCAAGAGAAAATCCCCTTAAGGAATGACAGGGAGAGGGGGTCACTGACTGCACCCCACAGGCCACACTTGATGGTCTGCAGCTGCTTTTGCTGGAGGCAGGGGTGGAGATGGCCAGCGGAGCATCCGTGGTGTGGGGTGCTTGGCACGGAGGCACGGTGGGTGTGAGTCCCGGCCTGCTGGCACTGCCGGGGCAGCGGAGTGGGGCTTGCTGTCTGCCCAGGTGCCTTCAGCCAGTGCCCATGCCAGGCGCTCCTGCTGCCTCCTGGCATAGTCCTGCTCATGCCTGGTGGCACCGGCTGCCTGTATCTTCCAGCAGCCCCAGGGGCCGTGCTTGGAGCCCAGCCTGACACTGATGTGTCTGTGCAGGTTGGCATGGAGCTACTGCCTGGGGACAGCAGCATCCCAGAAGCTGCCCTCCCAGTGGGTGCTGCAGGTTGAGTGGCAGGACAGGTCCTGCCCGAAGGTCCTTGCTTCCGCAGCTGCAGCGGTGCAGTTCCCTGCTGGAGAATGGGATTGCAGTGGGAGACCCAGGCAGACACGTGCCCATGAATGGGTCCTTGTTGTCTCAAGGGTGTGCAGGACGGCCCTGCTCCAAGCACGCTGCCTGTGTGATTGGAAACCCCTTGTCCCTGGAGAGGCACACATGCCCATGAGCACATGTGTGTGTGCGCATGCATCCATGCTCAAGGGACTGTACAGATGCTCCCAGATATACACACATATACACTGGCCCTCCATGCTGCCACCCAGATCAGCTGAGCCAGGGTGACTCAGTCCCTCTACCCCAGTCTGTGTAGCCTGGCCATCCAGGGCTTGGGGTCAGCTGGAAAAAATGTTTGTCCCAAGCAAGCTGTATTCAGCCCAGCCCTGGAGCCCCACTTGTCCCAAGGGTTTGAGGAACACTGCTGTGTTCCTCCCTCCCTTCCTTTGGTTGCTCAGTGATGTTTTTGCATACCTGGGGAAAGGCATTGCCCAGGCCCCCACTAACCTGCCCTGTCTGTGTCCAGAGAGCCAGCCCACAACATCGGATGAGACCGTGGTAGCTGGTGGTACAGTGGTGCTCAAGTGCCAGGTGGAGGACCCTGATGACTCCTCGCTGCAGTGGTCCAACCCTGCCCAGCAGACCCTCTACTTTGGGGAGAAACGAGGTATGTGGACATGAACTGGGGATGAGAGAGCAGATCGCTCAAGTCCAGAGCAATGACAGGCAGGGGGAAAGCAGACCAGGGACAGTGATGTCCCGGAGGGTGATGTTCCCTCCTGCTGCGCATCAACACTGATGCCACTGGGCAAAACACGAACTAGCAAAGGGGTGTGGTGGTACTGAGCCTGTCACACACCCTGTTTCCCCCTTCCCCCCAGCCCTACGAGATAACAGAATCCAGCTGGAGAGGTCCACGCCCAACGAGCTGACCATCAGCATCAGTGATGTGGTGCTGTCAGATGAGGGGGAATATACTTGCTCCATCTTCACCATGCCTGTGCGGACTGCAAAGGCCCTGGTCACCGTGCTGGGTAAGCCACTCGTGGCAGCCCCCCCATCTGTTCCCATTCTCTCAGCTGCTACTGCCCTGCCAGCGAGATGCTGTCCATACAGCCGTTCATCTCTGCTACTCCCATATCCCTACCTATTAACTCATTCTTGCTGTGTTTATTGACACGTCTTTGCGTGTACATCCGCCTCTGGGTGGCAGCACACACACAGCTAATACGCTGTTGTATTTCTTGTCTCCTCCTTTACCAGGAATCCCCCAGAAACCCCAAATCTTTGGCCATGAGCAGCCCATTGATGAGGAGAAGATAGCCCGGCTGACTTGCCGGTCCTCTGGCAGCAAGCCTGCGGCCCAGCTCCGGTGGAAGAAGGGCAACAAGGAGCTGACGGGTGGGTTCCCAAGCAGTGGGGCTCTGCCCCAAGGGCCTGGGACAGCTGGGAAACACTGTGGAGGCAGAGGTGGGGCACCAGGGGTTGCAGATGAGCCTGGTGCTGGACCACACCAGCATCATATGCTACTGCCAACAAAGGGACAGAGACAGGGTGTTCCCTGCTCAAAACACATCAGCCTCATGCCTCTGCTGGGGTACTGTGGATGTCAGCTCTAATGGTTCCCTGTCCCCACAGACGAGGGCACCGAGGTGGTGGAGGACCCTAATGGAAAGACCTTTACCGTGAGCAGCCGGGTGGAGTTCCGCGTCACCAAGGAGGACAACGAAGCCGAAGTGACCTGCACTGTGGACCATGAGTCCCTGCAGAACTCCGAGAGGTCAACCACGCAGAAGCTGCAGGTCCACTGTATGTGGCACGTGGGGACGATGGGACAGGGCCACATGGGGAAGGAGACAGGGCTGTGGAGGGGTGGAAAAGATGGAGGAGGCCTCAGCATCACCACAGTTCAGCAGACATCACACACATGGCCCTGCATTTACATGTACACACAGACATTGCACATACACGCATACAGGCTCATCGGCCTGCATGCTTGGTAGTTCTGTCATACGTAGGGGCACTGCACAGTGACACTTCCCCTGCACATGCGTGCCCTTGGTTTCTCCTGCCTGTCCCTGTCCTCATCTCCCTAAGACTGGTCGGTGCCATCTCCCATGTCCTGCCTGTCCCCATTCCCTGTGTCTCGCATGTCCACTGTGATGCCAGGGTGGGGGATGTGGACAGTGTGCACTCCCAGAGTGCTGACCCCCACCCCAGTGCACCCTACCACCCACAGGTACACTCACACTACAACCCTGCCCGGGAAGCTCTGGGACCAAGGTAGGGTGCCAGAGGCAGGGTTTTGGGGTGCCAGCAGGCCTCTGCACAGTGTGGGGCAGGGACAGGTAGTCACCCAGCTGTGCTTCTCCTCCTTTTTCAGACAAGCCAACAGCGAGGATTGAGCCACATCCCCAGTACCCACGGGAAGGCGAGAAGCTCCAGCTGCAGTGTGACGGGCAGGGCAACCCAATGTAAGCCCCCTCATCACCTTCCTCCTTCTCAGCCCCACCAGGCCCCGGCCAACTCGTCCTCACGCTGCCAGGCTCCCAAAACCACCACCACCACTTAGCCCTCCCCATAGCTCAGGCAGGGCATCACAGGTAACTCTGTGTGTGCTCAGGGCCAGGCACTGGCTTTGCATCAGTACCAGGTAGGGCCAGGCACCCCATGGAGAACAGACAAAGCCCCTGTCCTCTCCCTGGAGCAGCAGATCCATTCCAGCTCATCTCTAAATGGGGTATTTTCCTCCTGCTTAAATACTCCCACACCTTCACTGTCCCCTCCACTGCCTGGCCAAGGACACTGCTCTGCCCCAGCCTGCCAGGAGTGCTGGGGAGAACAGCAGTGCCTCACTGCCATCCCACTCCACAGCCCCCAGGAGTTCCTGTGGGAGAAGGAGGGCAGCGATGCACCCCTGCAGCTGAGCTCCGACAGTGTCCTCATCTTCCCTTTCCTCAACAAGAGTGACAGCGGCACCTACGTCTGCACAGCCACCAGCTCCATGGGCAGTGTTGTGGCCAAGTACAACCTCGACGTCAGTGGTAAGTGGGGCCACAGGGCACCCGGCATCACCTGGTTTCTCCCAGCAGCTGCTGGTTGGCACAGCCATCTCCATCTCAGCTGCATCTCCCTGTGCAGGGGTGCGTGAATCCAGGGAAGGCTGTGGTGGGCGGGGGGCTTTGTGGCAGAGGGCGGGTACCTGCATGCAGCTGAGTCCTGGCACACTCGCTGGCAAAACGCTGTATCCCCAGCTCCTCTGACCACATCCAGCCTCCCCATCCTGCCCAGCACTGTGCAGGGTTGCTGCCTGTGGCCAAGAAGAGTGGAGAGCAGTTTGCGGGGATCAGGGCAGGGACACGGCATGGACCAGGCTGAACTTAGTCCCTGTTGCCTCTAATGGCGAGTGGGAGAGGGTACGATGGGGGAACTGCAGGGACTGCAGGCAGGATTCTGCTGGAGTCTCTGGAGCAGGAGGAAAGGCCGGTGTTCCTGTGCCTGTCACAGGCAGAAAGCCTCTACGTGACACCACCACAAGCCAAAGACGATTTCCAGACGGCACCGGCCCCTCCAAACCATGAGGTGCCCTGGCAGCCCTGTCCCAAGCTTCTGGAGATGGGCCCTATGGCTTGCCCTGAGCCACTGGAGCTGCAGCCTTGCACTGTGTCCCGTCTTCCCAGAGTGTGTCCCCCCTCGACACCTGTCCTTGTATGGGAAGGGGCAGCACCTGCTGCCTCCCCGTGCAGCACTGTCCCCTTGCTGCCTCCCCCCACCCTGGCTGTGCTCTGCTGCTGTGTTTGCTGTCATTGTGCCCTGCTACACCCAAGTGCTGTGTGTCGCACATGGAGCAGAGCTGTGTGCTGTGTGGGGCTGCAAGCGCTTCTCCGGCCCGTCCCCAGCTGGTGGTGGTGCTGCCCCGACTGCTGTGCTCAGCACCCAGCCCCTCACGCAGCAGCTTTCCTGTAGGAGCCTGTCTTCCCGTGGTTTTGGCCTTGGATTTGGGGTTATCTTCCTCTTCTGCCGAATCTCTTGCCATCTCTCTCCTTTCTACCAGCCTTGGACTTTCCATCTTCCAGCACTCCTACGTGTTCCAGCTCTTCTCTCCCCCATCCCCTTTCCTTTCCCTCCTGTTTTGGCTACTCTCAACATCCTTCCCCTCCAATGTGGCTGTGGGTAGAGGGAGTGCATGGCAGCAATTGCACCCCAGGCACCCTGTCCCCCTGAGTCCCTCCCTGCTTACGCAGGATGAGCCCCTAAATGCCCAACCCTGTGCAGTTGTTCCTTCATCACCCCTTGTGTCCCCCCCCATCCTCCTGGGTGCTGGGTCTGCACAGGGAGGTGGTTCCTGAGCCTGGCTGTGAGCACAGCAGCACCCAGAGCCCTCTGCACCCACCCAGGACCACAGAAGCCCCCAGGGTGCTCAGCAGCCACCCACGGGCTCATAGCAGCATCTGGGGTGCTCAACACCATCCACAAGCACACAGCACCCAGAACACCAGTGTCCCTCACTCACTTGGTGTCACAGCCCCTGGCAGAGGAGCTCCACATCTAGGCTTGGTTCCCCTTGTCAAATCCCCCTCCCTCTTTTTCTCCAGAGCCACTCAGGTCTCGGGCACCATCACTGGAGCAGCCACCTTGCCTGGCCGAGCCCTTGAGCTTGCCCACTGCAGCAGCCAGCTTGCTCAGCAGCGAGGAAGAGCGGGGACAGAGCGGTCCCTGAGGATGTGCATAGGAAAGTGTAGGTGGCACCTCATGGTGGGTGACACTTTCCAGCCACCGCAGTACCGGGGCTCCCAGGCAAGAGGGTCCCAGTGGGGTCCCTCACAGAGGAAGGAGTGACGAGGGGGTCTGGCAAGATAGGAGATGGGGGGGAAGATGTTCACAGCAGTGTGTCCCAGAGGACAGTGGCAGGAGAAGAGGAGTAAGTCCTGTGGCCAAGAAAGGGGTTGTGGAAGGAGCCGCCGAGAAGAACATGTCCCATCCGATGGGCTCTGTCATGCCGCACTGGCATCTCCCAGGGTTGATTTGTGTCCCTGTGTTTTTGTTGTCCTCCCCAGATCTTTCCCAGCTCCCCACCCCACACGTTCACTCCACTCCAGCCCCTCCGCCGGGCCCTTCCCAGCCCATCTCTCATGCTTCCATGGCCACCGCTTCATCCTTCACTCCAGCTCCCATCCAAGGTACCGTAAGCTCCTTTTCTCTCTCTTTATGGACCTGCTGCTCCCCAGCCCAGTGGGAGAAGCTCCACAGGAGGATGGTGGCCCAGCCCTGGGCCAGGGACACCCTTGCCGCATCCCAGGTGCCCAGCCAGACTCCAGTCCCTGTGCAGCTGCTTTTTGGTGTGTGTGGACTCTGCAGCCACCATCTCAGCACTTCAGGGTAGTGGTACACAGCAAAGAGCTGAGGCTCGGCTGCGTCATGGTCCTTCCAGCTCTTCCTGGCAGGTCGTTGCAGCAGCTGCCTGTGAGCTGCAACCTGTGCCTTGTGTCCATGCGAGATGCCGTTCTCCTGTCCTGTCACACCTGCCGTGTTGTCTTTCCCACCCTGTCTTGTCCAAATGCCTCCTCTGAACGTTTCTGTGGCTCTGTCCTCCCCAAGCTAATGGGGCACAATGAGTGGAAGAAGGATTTGTTTCTGTGCACCAGGGCTGATGCAGGATCCCAGCACAGACTGTGCTACAAGATGTGGTTGACTTGGGACTGGCCTTGGGGTCCCACCATCCTTGGGGTGCCATTACCTCCTGAGGTGTGGTGTGTGGCCGATGCCAACCTGCGTGTCACCTTCCTGCTGGCACAATGCAAGGGAAGAGTGAGCTCAGCCTGGCTCCACCATGTGCTTAGCCTCGCCTTTTGGGGAAAAAATCCCACTGTGAAGGATGGGGCGGTGGGATCACAACTGTGCCTGAAGGCAGAGGTACCATAGGCTGCACAGAGCATGTTGCCAGTGCTGCTCCCTGGGGCACATCACAGACAGCTGGGCACAGGGTTGGGTTTGGCCATTGCAGCTCTTCTTGGCTGCTGTCTCGCCCAGGCAGGGCTCCCAGCACAGCTGTCAGGGCTCCTCCCAGCTGACTCCCTGCAGGAGCTGGCACCCTTGGCCATTGCTTTCCCCTCCTGGCTTCCCCTGCTGCCTTCCCTTTTCTTGCTCCCCCCTTAACAGCTCTCACCTGCAGCAGGATCTAGTTGAAGGCGTCAAGCTGAGCAGGATCGGGCCTTCCAAGGCACCCACCTGCAGCCCTGAGTGATCCGTGGGATAAGCAGCAGCCTCTGCTGCGCTGCAGGGTCTGCAGCATCTCCTTTCTGTTTTCTCTCCCTTTGCCATCTGGGCAGATGCCAGCCCGGTGCCCTCGACTTCCAGCACGTACCATGCAGTGATCGGTGGGGTGGTTGCCGTCATTGTCTTCCTCCTGCTCAGTCTTCTCATCGTGTTGGGACACTACCTGATCAGACACAAAGGTACGGGGTAGGGGAGCTGCACGGGGCGAGCATGGAGCCGAGAGCCCGTGCCACGTTGGAGCAGGCAGCGCAGTGCGTGCTCCCCGCTCGGCGGGTCTTTGGGAGCAGGGCCGGGTCCCTGCAGCGAGCGGGCAGCAGGGGCAGGCGTGAAGGGGGCAGCTCCCTGTCCTGCAGACGTGCCCTGCATCCAGAGAAACCCAGCACAGCCAGCGGAGCCCTCCTGGGTTTGGGGGTGGCTGCCCATGCCTGTGCTGGCACCAACCCCAGCGTGGAGATGTCCCAGTGAGTCCTTGGAGCTGGACAGCACCAGGTGGAGGTAGCTCCTACCCCATTTCTCCAGCTCTCCTTCGTGGCTTGGTACCCACTGCCCCAGGACTGCCTATGCCACTGTCCCTGTCTGTGCTTGACCCCACCTCCTCCCTGTCCCTGCCCTCCTCACCATCCCTCAAGCCCTCTGCCTTCCTCTTCCTCCTTTCCCTCCACCATTTCCATCTCCCCATCCCTGGACTTTTCATCCGCCCAGCAGGTATGTGCATAAGACACGGGGAGACGGTCACATCCAGACATCGGCAAAACCCAGCAGAGGTGATGTGTGAGTAAGAGTCCCCCAATCCTGCCCTCCGAGCCCAGCAGAGCTGCCGCCTCTGCCCCACGCCATGCCGGCTCGGGGGCAGCCGGGAGTTGGAGCCTCCTTGCAGATGGAAGTTTTGCAGAGAAACCCTTGAGTTTTTTGAGGGGGAACAGGGACAGGAACGCGGAGAGGGGCGGACAGTGGGGAGGGCAGGAAACTTGCCTGGAAGTGAAAGCAGGGGCTGCCGCTTGCAAAGGGGGAGGCAGTTTCAACCTCTGGCTAGAGAAGACTGCGAAAGCCCAGGCAAGGCTCGGTCCCTGGGCAGGGCTTGGCCCAGGGAAACCAGTGACTTTTCCATTTCAGGCCAAGCCTCTCACCTCCGCTTTCCAGCCAGCCCTCGGGCTCTGCCACCAGGGCCCCTCCAGGCAGCCCAGCCTCCCCCTGCTTGCGTGGAAGCGGGATGCTGGCAGGGCCCTTCTATGATGCTGACCCCTTCTCCCCACCCAGGTACCTACCTGACCCACGAGGCCAAGGGGTCGGATGATGCCCCAGACGCTGACACAGCCATTATCAATGCAGAGGGCGGCCAAGCCAGTGGTGACGACAAGAAGGAGTATTTCATCTAGGGGCATCAGAGAGAGTGAGAAATGGAGCCAACAGACCCCGAATGAAACGGAAACCAGACCACAAACCCCACTCAACCCAACCGATTTTCTCTCGCGCCTGGCACGGGCAGACAGATGGACAGAGGGATGGCAGGACAGAGAGCAGAGAGCAACCGGCCTGAGACATGATGCTTCTTAAACTTGTACAAAACATTATTACTACAAACAGCGAAAGCCCTGGCCCCGTTTGCTTGCTTGCACCTCCATCCCTGCGACTGGCGCTCGCGCAAAACACAGACCAACCAGTGAGTGAGCGACTTTCCTTCTTCCTTTGGACGTTTGCTTTGGTTTCGTGGCTGCTCTTTGCTTTAGGCCTTTGGTTGGGATGTTGGGCTGGGGTTGATGTAGCTCTTTCCTTTGTTTCTCTCCATTTTGGTTTCTTTGACATCCAAGGATAAAATCAGCTCCAGGCTCTGGTGCAAGCTCGGGACAGCTGGGCAGCCCCTCTGTCGCAAACACTCGCCCCGTGCCTCCCACCAAGAGTCAGGACCCACATTCCCATTGCTCCCCCCAGCCTCGGCTGCTATGTGATGGCCCCAGCTGGGACAGGGAGTGCAGCCGGCAGGATGGGAGCAGGATACTGACAGGAAGCATCTCTGCCTCCAAGGTCTTGGCACGTGGCTGGCATCGAGCAGGGAGGGCCCCAAGCCCCTGCCCTGATTTTATCCTTGGTGGTTCTTGTCGAACAGTGTCCATTCAGGAGGAGAGCTGTCCTCGTGCAGTAGATGTGTGAAGGGGGGGTGAGCTTCCAGGGTGGGAACTGCTGAGGCCCCCAGAGAGACTGGGAGCTGCCAAGCACTGCAGCTCCCCGGTCCCACCCCAGCGGGAGGGGGGAGGGCAGAGGTTTGGGGGTGAATCCAGAGAAAAAGCCCCAACTTTACAAATTCTCAGATTGGAAATGTCAATTTAGACCATCTATTGAGATGTTCAGTGCAGGAGACCACCTGCGCTGGGAGCAGCAGGCAGAGCTGGGAGAGACGGTGGGCCTGCGGCCATTGCCACTTCCCTCTTTGCTGGGCTGGCCCTGGGGCCCCCAGAGCCTCTGGAAAGGTAGTTGAGACCCTGGGGGTGGCTTCAACCAGAGCTGACACAGCTGGTGGCACCACAGGAGCCGAGCTGGTCTGGAGATGACCTGCTCCCCAGCACAAGCGGTCCAGAGCAGCACAAGGCCTGGGATTTCTCTGGTGGAGATGTGCAGAGAGGCACTTCCCCAGCATCTGCTTCTTGGAGCTGGCTGTCCCCATTTCCTCCCCGGCCCCTTCCCAGGGCAGGTGTGAGCTTGGAAAAGGCTGTTTCCCTCTCAGCTCCAAGGGCTGCATCCAACAGCCGCTGAAATTCCCAGGTTTAGTGTCTTGGTGGTTTGTGCGTCTCCAAGAAGGTTTGGAGGGGGCTTGCCCTACCTCCTACTTGTTTTACTATCTCTTCCAAGACAAAAACAGCTTTTCCAACCCCTCCAGCATGTTCCCAGGGTCCACTTGGCCCACCCCAGCCACACGCCCACGGGATGGGAGTGCAGGAGGCTATGCACCAGCATCTGCAGGACACCCCTCAGCCCCCGGGGAGCCAGGCCCCATCCCTCACCCTTGGGATGAGGTTTTCCAGCTTCCCAGGATCCCAACATTTCTTGGTCTGAACACAAGGGGTTTGCAGGACCTGCCCTTCGGCTGGTCACCCCTTCAGTTTCGGGTTGTCTGGAGGAGAAGGGCCCTTTGGGAAGGAGCAAAAGCCCTCAGTGGTGTGGGTAACCTCACCATGGAGGTAGAGGAAGAGCTTGTGTCCTCTGCTGTGGGGTACCAGGTGCCCACGGGACAGGTAGTGTTGCTCACATCAAGACCCTGCAAGCACGTGGCACAAGGAGGATGCCTGTGGGAAAGCTATCGCAGAGCGAGCAGGGCTGGATGGGGCTCTAGGGCCAAACAGACGAGGAAGAAGAGGCATGGCTCAGTGGCAGGCACAGGGTGTGAACGAGCGATGTGTTTGTGGCACATGCGCAGATGGGACTAGATTCATTGTGGCTAAATCGTGTGTCAGGAGCACTCAGGCAGCAGGGTGTTACCACCTTGAGAGAGAAGTGCACGAAGCCTTTGTCAACATGGCGAAGAAAATCTGCAGTTTTCTTGATGTTGTTCCTCCCTTCCCATCTCTTTGGAGGAAGTCGTTGGCCTGGAGTCCCAACGGTAACTCTCAGCTTGTTTCAAAGGATGCAACCATTGCTGCCGGAGATAACACTGCAGATGTTGATGCTGTTAACTACTCCACTGCACACTGAGCATGTCTGAATGTGCGATCTGACGCTTTGCTGAAGATCTCTTAACATCCACTATCAAATAGACGTAATTCCTTCAAATAAAAATGCAAGGATGTGTTTTCAAGTACAATTTAATCTCATTGTAAGTCTACGTGCTGTAGATGGTTACAAAGAAAGCCCCAACCCAGGGGTGTGGGGGGGGAAGGGGTTAACTGGTCCCAAGGGAAAGGGATGTGGGAGCTGAAGCTGGACAGGGAGGTTTCTGCCTCTTCAAGGCAGTGCGGCACAGCCATGGCCATTTTCTCCCCAGTGCCACTGCTTCAAAGCTGCTTCGAGGGCTGGTGCCAGTGGTCGCCACTTTGCCCTGGTGTGAGAAGTCAGGATTTGGCCTTTTTGAGATGCTGCATGGTATGGGACGTGGCAGGATGCAGCACAGGGAGGACTGGGCACGGGCAGGGCATTGAGGCTTGCTTCCTGCGGCAGACATCAGCAAAGGATGGTCTGGGTCTCACCCCAAGTGGACCCCCTGTCCTGCTACATCCACGGCAAGAGGTTGAGCTATGGCCCCGGGCATCGCAGGTCCTGGGAGTGGTGGAAGCCTGAACGTGAGGCTGTGTCTTCAAGCGAGAACCAAAGGGCTTTGGCAGATGCGAAGGAGCAGTGGACCCACTACCGTGGGCATGAGGGTGATGGAGAGCCCGTGTCGCGTGTGCGGGGTGACATACACCAGGTAACATCTGTGAAGAGGGAGATGCCATGGGATGAGCGTGAGGGGTGATGGGGACACGGGAGGGTGCAGTGGTGGTGCACCCACCGTGCTGCTGGTGGAAGGTATGATGGGACACACCATGTTGTGAGCGTGATGGAGAAACCACTGCGAGTTTGAGGCCCTGATGAATAGATCACGTCATAGGTGTGAGGTGTGGTGGGAAGCACCATTTTGGGAGTCCAGGGGCATGGTGGGGTACACAGCGTGTTGAGTCTTTTGGGGTGATGAGTACACCGTGTCACAGGTGTGCAGAGGAACAGCTACACAGCAGGATGGGTGTCAGTCGTGAGCTGCACCACGCCATGAGTGTGTTAGGGTGATGTGAGGGAGGGGTGATGGGGTACACGCTGTGTTGGGGCTGGGACATGTCCTGTTGTACGTGTGCATGGCACTGTGGTACAGCAGGTCAGGGCTGTTGCGGGTTGAGTACACCGTGTCATAAGTACAAGAGGGGATGTGGGTCATGTGAAGGGGTGAGAAGCTACACCTTGGTGCTAGCATGGGGGTGATGCCACACACTGACGACACGGGGAGACGGTGGGGTACGTGGTGTCGCTGACGTGGCTGAGGGTGGATGCGCCGCACTGCAGAATGATGAAGCGATGGGGCAGGTGGTGCTGCTGGAGCAGTGACGTGAGGGACACGCTGTCACAGGGGAGAGGGGACACCAGGCTCCTGTCCGTCCCCACTGGCACCCAGCAAAGATGGGCAGTGTCACACTGTGGCTGGGAGAGCCCAGGGCACCAGCCGCCGCCCTGGGCCTCGGTGGCTCCTTCAGAAGCGGGGCTTCCTTGTTGGCCATGTAGGCAGGGGACCTGCAGCCCAATATCCTCTCCGTGCCACCGCAGCCACCCGTGCTGGGCCCAGGGCATCCAAACCGGGATGCAGCCAGGGCTGGCACTGGGGGAGCAAGGAGGGTGTGGGACCATGTGGCCCTCTTTTGTAGACAGGCCTATTCACTCCCGCTCACCAGCCCCAGCGAGGCTCCGGCTGCGTCCCAGCCAGCACTGAACTCTCAATAGACACGAAAGCCATATTTGTAGGGAGCTCTGGAGACGCCGTGGGGCGGCAGTGGGGCAGGGCAGAGGACGGTCTGTGTTGTTGTGCTGTGTTCTTGTATGTACATAAAAGGGAGACAACGAACGTCAATGTGACTTTATAACCTTTCTAATATCCTGTGCTAATCTCGGAAAATAATCCTATAAATATATCTGGATTACACACATTACCTGCCTGCACGTCTCTGCTTCTGCCTGCGCATGCTGGTTACTGCTGGGGTCCTGGAGGTGTCGTGGCCATGACCACCCAGGATTGAGGGGGATCCAGGGGCGCTGAGGCCGGGGGAGTGGGCAGACACAGCCCACCCCGCTGTACAGCGTGGGAGGGATGCAGCTGAGCCCATTGCACAGCCCACAGAGGCACAGCTCAGCCCCTTGATCCCTGGCCCCTCTCAGCCCTTTCACCCTCAAATTCCCCCAGCCTAGTCCCCGAGATCCCCACCGCAGACGCCCAGACTCTGACCCTCCACTCCTCCCAAATTACTAGCCCCCGCCAAATGACAGTAACCCTCAATCCCAATCCCCTGAGCCCCCTCCAGGGATGCTCCTACCAGGCATGAGGGCCACCAAGTGCCATCGGCCCATGCTGGTTCCCTGCGAAGCTGGGCTTGCTGCCTGCTGCAGCCCAGGGAGCCCGTGACTCAGTCCCGGTGCCACAGGGTGACCCCACAGGATCTGGCCTCGCAACAGGGCTTCCCAAGGAAGGGCTGTGGATTTCCTTGCTGTAGGGGAGCGGGAAAGCACCACATGCCCAGGCTGCGCTGCCGTAGGGTCTCCTCAGCAGCTGCCTGCACCCTGCACCCGCACCACCCACCCTACGCCCCAGAGTCAGGCTTGCATGCAGCCTGCATCCCTGGGATGAAACCTGCATTCCTGAGCCCAGGCCAGCAGTAGGAGCATCCGCACAGCCAGGGTGCCTGTAAATACAATCCTTAATTAATTTAAAGTGTTCTGCCAAGAAGCAGTTGTTTCCTGCTCAAGAAATTGCAGGCTTGCGCTGGCAGCTCACTGTCTTTACCGTCAGCAGTGGCCCGCCTGTTTCCGTCAGGCCCTGGCAAAGGAGATGGCCAGGCCAAGGGGGCTGCTGTTAACAAGGCAGCTCTTATCTCGTTACCGCAGTCCCTCGCCTCCCTCTCGAGCAGGAGGAGCAGAGGCCGAGGGAGCACAAGTGGAGCAGGCACTGCCGCACAACACGGCTCTTGGAGAGCGTGCACCCCTGAGTGAGTGTGCACCCCTGAGCGTGCAGCCCTGAGTGTGCATGGCTGGGCACAGTGCCCTGCAGTGAGCGCGCCTGGCTGAGCAGTGCCCACCACGCACAGCACCCATTGGAGACCTGCAAACACAGAAGAGAGGGTGCTGTCCTGGGACACCCATCATGGGCAACTGCATCCCACTGGTGAGTGCCTCTCCCCTCCCCTGATGCTTCTCCCCGGTGATTTTCCATCCTGCTGGACATGAGGGCTGGGGCCAAGTGGGTGCACAGTGGTCGTCAGGGCCACAGCTTGCAGCAGGTGCTGCTGGCAAACACTTGCAGATGGCTCGGTGGGGTTTGCACCCACCCGCTGAGTGTCTGCAACCCTCCTCTGAGGCTGTAAGAAAATTTGTACTTTGATGCACCGTGGGGTCAGCCTGGGACAATCCTACCTTCCCAAGGTATCAACAGCAAGTGGCCTCCCCTCGCCCTGCAGCATGTCCCTCCCTAATAAATCACCCTGCTCAGCCTGCACCAAATCCCCTGGCACCAGTGGGGCAGCAGCCCATCCCCGGGGAGGTCTCAAACAATGCCATGGGATGCAGGCACCAGCAGTGGACCAGGCATATCCCTGCCTGATGCCCTCCACTCTCATTCACAGACCCCCCGCGTCCTGGAGAGCAAAAACTCCCTGGACCTGATGGAGATCATGGGCAACTTCTCCTATGACGACAGCAACATGACTGTCCTGGACTACGATGCTGCACCCTGCCACAACCAGTACTGTCCCTTCTTCCAGCGCGTGGCCCCCACCTTCCTGGCCGTCACCTGTGCCGCAGCTGCCCTGAGCACTGGGGCGCTGCTGGTGGCACTGGCCAAGCGGCCCCACACCTGGGGTTGGCCCCAGAGCCGAGCACTGGTGGCCCAGCTGGCAGTGGGGACAGGTCTCTTCGCTGCCCTGCTGCCGCCAGTGGCAGTGGGCATTGGGCAGGGCTGGCGGCTGGGCGCAGGGCTGTGCAGGCTCACCCACTTGCTGTGGCACTGGAGCCTCTTCGCGCAGGGTCTGCTGGTGGCCAGTGGCTCCTGCAGCACCGCCTGGTGCCGCTGGGACCCCCAGAGCCGGTGGCTGGCCGTGGCTGTGTGGGCTGGGGCATTGATGCTGGCAACGCCAGCAGCTTTTGCCGGTGGCATGGTGGCAGCCCCAGAGACGAGCTGCATCCGCCGGAGCGTGGACGTCCTCTCCCCAGTGTACCTGCTGCATCTCACCCTCTGCCTCTGCCTCTTCTTGCTGCTGCCAGCAGTGCTGCTGGTGGCCATGCTCGCTGTGCCAAAGCTGAGGGCGGGCTGGGAGCCAGGTGTCACTGTGAGCTGGTTCTTCTTTGGGCTCTGGGTGCCTTACGGCGTGGGGCTGGCTGTGGATTTCCTCCTGCAAGCCCAGCTGCTGCAGCCCACCTGCAGCACCTTTGAGCACTTCGACTACGTGCTGGGGCTGAGCGAGGGGCTGGGGGTGCTGCACTGCTGCCTGGGGCCCGCAGTGCTGCTCACCACCTGGCTCTGCCGGCACAGGGCCGGTGCCAGCGGCAGCTGCTGAGCTCCTGCTGCTGCAGCCAAGGGCTTCAAGCGTCCCCCAGCACTGTCCCCTCTCCCCACAGTGTCCCCACCAGCCCTGCAGCTTCTGCCCCGCAGGCAACATGGGCCCATTATGTGCCAGACTTGTCACCTCTCCTTCCTCCATCCCCTTCCTTGAGGTCTCAGCCCCACTGTTTGTGGCCAGACACCCCGATTTACTCCATGGAGCTAGCCCTAGGGCGCCTCAAGCATCTCCTCAAGCCCCAGGGGGTTGTCAGCCTCAGGCTCCTGGACGTTCATGGGGATGCCCAAGACTCAGCCCCAGCTTCCCCAGCTCCACAGGGACATTTTGGCAGGCAGAAAGGGCAGCGGCGATCTGAAGCGACAGGTTTTTTCACTCCCTCCTGACAAGCTGAGATAAGCGTCATGTCTAAGATCAGCCAGTGGGAATTATATACAATATATATGTTTGCCAGAGCTGCTTGCCAGGTTCGGTTAATGGCAGGGGTTGGGAGGTACGGGAGGGTACAGAGGGGTGACATCCGCCACCTCCGGCCAGGCTCCCGTGGGCCAAGGAACAGGAAGTAGGAGGTGTGTGCTCCTTGTGCCTCCAAACTAGCAGGAAAAGCTCATAATGAAGCTCTGCAGTCTATTAGCGGGAAATGGAGTGATTTATATCCAGCGCTGGAGGCATCAGCCACAGTCCATGAGGGACAGCCACGTGCGGTCACAAGGCACACAGGATGTGAAACGGCTGTGGATGGAGACCTGGAGGGGGTGATGGGGAGGCACGAGCCTGAGGCCAGGACCTGCCCATCCGCAGGATCCAGGGCCCAGCATGGGGGTACACAAGGAGATGCCCCAGCTGAGCCAAGCCCTGTGGGACCTGGGGGATCACCCACAGCAAATTGAAGGACTGACGCAGTGGGGAATGAGCTCTCATCATCCCCAAAAAGGGGTTGGCCAGCCATGGCCGAGAGCATCCCACTGTTGCCCTGCCACCCATCCCTCCGTAGCATAACTGTGCAAGGGCCCCACAAGCCCATCCAGGACACCTCACTCAGCCCAGCACCATCATTATGGAGCCCCAGGACAGACAAAATCCACCCCTTTCCCAAGCAGGTTGTATCCAGGCAGGGGGCACAGCATGCTGTGCACCAGCCCTATCTGCTCATAACACACACGGACATCCTCAGAGGACGTCCAGACCACAGACACCCTCTGAGGACACCAGACCCTCAGCCACTCAGCTTTGCTGCAGTTTCTTCTGCCACCTGGTGTCCACGGCTCTGGCTTCAGGCTCCATCCCTTTGGCTGGGACAGGGCGAGTAGAGTTCAGGGATGTGCCGGAGAGCCATGGGTCAGGGCAAGGCGGCCAGGGGCAGCTTTCCCACTGTGCCTCTCGGACGAGCCAGGATCACACCAGGTCAATCCCACAGGGAGCTTGCCCTGGGCTATGGGACAAGAGGACCACAATGAAGCCACGCGGCTGGGGTGCCCCCCGCCACCCGGGTGGGCACGCGCCTGGGACACAGTTCCAAGGACAGCCCCGTGCAGGCGGGTGACCTAGAGTCTCGCGGCATGGCCGCATGACAGCGTGAAATCACCCCTCCTGGGCATGCCACGCTGGTGGGGATGGGATTGGGGGAACGCAGCTCCCCTCCCACCCTCCGGCCCATAAACGTGGTGGGCAGCACCCCTGCACCAAGTCCTCTGCTGGCACTGACCGCAGCGCCTGGGACCATGGGTCAGCTGCGGCTCTGGCTTGCCATCCTGGTCGGGCTCTCGAGGATCGTGGCCCAGGAAGGTAGGGGCAACACTGGGGGACAGGAGCTGGGGGGGGACCATGGCAGCAGCTCTCAGGGCCCTTTGTGTCATGCCAGAGCCCGGATAGCAGGGCTGGAGGATGCTGGAGCAAGGCTGGGGTCAGCAGAGGGGATGTCATGGATGCAGAGTCACCCAGGGGGGATGGAGGAAGGTTCAGAGGCAGTCAGAGGGGGCTGCAGGACACCCCGACCTCCCGCCGCATCCCTTCTCTCACCCCTCAGACCTGTACAGAAAGGTGTTTGTCTTCCGGAAGGACCCCAGTGATGCCTACGTGGTGCTGAGGGCCAAGCTCGAGCAGCCACTGCAGAATTTCACCGTGTGCCTGAGGTCCTACACCGACCTGACCCGGCCTTACAGCCTCTTCTCCTACGCCACCAAGGTGCAGGACAACGAGATCCTCCTCTTTAAGCCCAAGCCTGGCGAGTACCGGCTCTACGTGGGGGGCAGGTTTGTCACCTTCCGCGTCCCGGAGGGCCGTGGGGACTGGGAGCACGTCTGTGCTAGCTGGGAGTCAGCCACTGGCATCGCTGAGTTTTGGCTCAATGGGAAGCCCTGGCCCCGCAAGGGGCTGCAGAGGGGCTACACGGTGGGGGTGGAGGCGGCCATCCTACTGGGGCAGGAGCAAGACACCTTCGGAGGTGGCTTTGACGTCTACAACTCCTTCTCGGGCGAGCTGGCCGACGTCTACCTGTGGGACACGGGGCTGTCCCCGGACAAGATGCGAGCTGCCTACCAGTCCCTGCGCCTGCCGCCTGCCGTCCTGGCCTGGAAGAGCCTGAGCTACCAAGTGAAGGGCGATGTGGTGGTGAAACCCCGGCTCCGGGAGGCGCTGGGGCCATGACAGCCGGCTGGATCCGGGGCTGGGGCAGCCTCAGCCCCCACTCTCCCCTCTCCGTCCCCATCACCCCTTCGCTTCTACAACCCCGCAAGAAGGTGCCATCTGTGCACCCCAGACAGGGAGCTCCAGTCAGGAGACAGCTTGGATGGAACTGGGGAGGGCTGGGGGCATCGCTCAGCCTGGCAGGGTTCCCCCGAGTGCCAGCACCTGTCACCAACCCATCACCGATGCCTGGGGCACCCCTTCCCTTCCCCACGCCCCCCTGATCTGCCCCACGGCCAGCTCCCACATGGGCAGGACATGGATACACCAGCTCCAGCGTTGCCCAACCACACACCACACAGCAGAAGAGGTTAGGGACAGGCAAGTAGGGGCTCAGAGCCCCGGGGGCTGCAGGACCCATCCCCAGTGCCCATCCCCATGTATACCTGCTGTCCCCAGGCTCCCTGCCAGCCCGCTGGATCTGCAGGCTCCTGGGCAGGCAAACTGGCCCGAAGTCCCTCACCAGATTGCCAAACAGCCCCGTGGGTCAGTGGCCCCTCAGGGGATGAAGGTGCAGTGGGGAGCAGTGGGGAGCAATGGGTGGGGGAGCAGTGGGGCACCCGGATCTCTGCAGAGGAGTGCAGTGGGTGCAGCGAGGGGTGCAGTGGGTGCTGTGGGAGGCACAGGGGTCACGCAGTAGCTGTGCAGTGGAGGAGGCACCTGGAGCTCTGCAGAGGGGTGCAGTGGGTGTAGCACAGTGAAGTGGGGGCGCAAAGGGGTGCAGCGGGGGTGGGAGGAGGAGACGTGACGGCAGTGTAGCAGGAGCCGAAAGGGGCACCCTTGAGAGCCACAGTGGGGGTGGCAGAGCGGGGGTAGCAGGCACACAGTGCCAGGCACCATGAAGAATGCCGCAGGGCCACAGTGGGGGCTGCATTGGTGACACAGGGCTGCCGCAGGCCGGTGGAGCCAGGCCCCACGGGTGGGTACAGGGATACCTCCCCACCCAGCATGGCTCTTCTCTCTGGGTGCTGCAGAAATAGTGGCTGCCCAGATCCAGGCTCACCCACCGGCACCCACCCCGTGCCGATGCTCTCCTGAGAGGTGACAGGGGACCCTGGGTAAGGCACTCCCCACCCTCCCATGGCCTCTGGCATGTCACCGGCGTGGGGCAGGCAGCTCCAGCATCCCCGGACCTGTGGTCAGTGGGAGAGGGCTGGGGAGGAAGCACCATGGTCCCTCTGTGTCCCTCCCACCCCATTACATGGTCATCTGAGTGACACCCAGCCCGGCTCAGCCCCCAGGAGTTCCTGTGGGAGAAAGAAGACGTGACCCTCTGCAGAAAGGCCCCAACAACATCCTCCTCTTCCCACTTGGGCACCTACATCTGCACGGCCACTAGCTCGATGGGTACCACTGTGGCCACCTACAACCTGTGGATACACGGTAGAGAGAGGACCAAGGGGGTGGCTGGGGACAAGGGCTCTTCCCCTCCTTCCCACAGCTTGTCCTCACCACCCTGTGCCCCTGCCGCCCCGTATCACAGCCCACGCTTGGCCAGTCTTGGTGGTGGAAGCCACCTCTGGGGCTGATGCTGGAGGCTACCTCCAGAATGGTGGTGGCTTCTTCGCTGGCACGCTGCAACCATTTCCCCTTGGGGGACTTGGCTGGATGCCTTCGCCGTGGCAGGAGCAGCCATCCCTTTCTCACCTCTCTCAGACCCGACCTACGTGTTGGTGTATCCCCAAGAGACCAAAGACTCCCATGTGCTGGTGAGGGCGAAGCCGGAGCAGCTGCTGCAGAATTTCACGCTGTGCCCAAGGTCCTACACTCCCGGTCAGGGTGGCCAGCAAGTGCTGGGTGAGACGCGATTGCCATGGGGGCTGTGTTGTCCCCCACTTCCCTGCTCTGTAACCCCCTCCAAAGCCACCTAGTGTCACATAAATGAAAAAAATGGGTTTGAAAAGCAGCAATGGTGTTTGGCAGCCAAATCGAAGCCCATCAAAGCTCAGTGTGGCTCAGGTAATTAATCCGGGCTCAGAAACCTTGTCAGGGTGAGGGTCAGCGGGAGAGGAGGGAGGGAGAAGGGGCTGCTGCCAGCCCAGGGGCCCCGCTCCTGTCCTGGGGGCGCTGGGGCCAGGCCGAGTGGGGGGACAGAGACCAGGCACCCCCTTGCCCAGTGCTTGGGGGGTAGCCCCGTGTCCCGGAACCCGGGGGGTGCAGTCCCGGTGCCCCCGGGGGGCGCGGCCCCGCGTCCCGGTGCCCCCGGGGGGCGCGGCCCCGCGTCCCGGTGCCCCCGGGGGGCGCGGCCCCGTGTCCCGGCGGCCGGCGCGGCCCCGCGTCCCGGTGCCCCCGGGGGGCGCGGCCCCGCCTGGGGCGGAAGGCCACTGCCCGCCCTCACCGCCGCGCTGGGCAGCCGCTGCCCGGGGCCCGCTCCGCCGCCGCGGAGCCTCCCCGGTACGGCGGGGCGGGAGAGGCCGGGGCTCGCCGGGCGCGGCCTGCGGGGACCGGCCGGGCCGGGGCGGGGCCCCGCTCGCGGCGGGCGGCGGGAGCCGGGCCTGCGCGGGGGGGGGGGGGGGTCCGGCCGCGGTGGGGGTGCTGCAGAGACGGGCCTGGTCGGCGGGCACGGGCCGGGGGGTCGCGGTGGGGCTGAACCGGGGACCCCGGAGTGTGGCCAGAGGGTCCCGGCGGGTCTGGCTGCGGTCCGGGGGGGCGGCCCGAGCAGAGGGGGAGGCGGGCGGCTGGCAGCGGCCTCGCTGTGACCCGGGAACGCGGCGGCGCAGGCCCTACAGTGCCGGTCCCCGCAGGTGATGGCGGCGTCCGAGCCCCCCAACTTCTCGTGGGTGGCGGAGGGGCGGCTGGCGGGCCTGGCCATGCCGCGGGAGCCGGGCCACTACCGGTTCCTGCTGGGCCAGGGCGTGCGGCACCTGGTGTCGCTGTCGGAGCGGGCCCCCCCGCACCACGGGTGCTGCCCCGCCATCCAGCTCCACCGGCTCCGCGTGCCCGACTTCAGCCCCCCGACCCCTGCGCAGATCCAGGGCTTCCTGCAGCTGGTGGAGGAGGCCAACGCCCGTGGCGAGGTATGCCGAGGTCTGGCGGCCGCTCGGGGTGACACTGCGGGAGGGTGACAGCTCGGGAGGGAGGCGGCGGCCCCCGGGGAGAGGTTCCACCGAGGGGGTGACACCGGGGGGGGGGGGGGCAACGGCTGTAGCACCGAGGGGTGATGCCGAGGAGCGCGGGGGGCCGCAGCAGGGATGCCCGCGCCCCTTCGCGCCGGGGCCGCTGACGGTGCGGCGCCGGCGGCCAGGCTGTGGCGGTGCACTGCATGCTAGGGCACGGCCGCACGGGCACCATGCTGGCCTGCTACCTGGCGAAGGCGCGGAGGATGGATGGCGGCGACGCCATCCGGGAGATCCGGCAGCTGCGGCCCGGATCCATTGAGACGTGGGAGCAGGAGCAAGCTGTGATCCAGTTCTGCCGGAGTGTTCGGTAGGTGCAGCCCCACTGCATGGAATCCTGTCTCTGGAGGGGCTCCTCCTCCTCGTGCCGCGCCAGGGCCGTGGCTGCTGGTGAGCTGTGGCTCCCAAAGCCCGGCTCGCCAGCGGGATCTGCCCCACCACAGCGCTGGAGAGGACAGTGAGGAGGTATGAGCGCGACCGTCTCCCTGGGGCAGCGTGTGCCGGACGGGTTCAATGGAGACAGTCCCTCCGAAATGGTGGGGGCCTTTACCAGCCCTGAGATGCTGCCATCTGTCCCCTGCTGCATTAAAGGACTGTCCTGTGGCTTCTCTCCGGGTCTGTGTGTGGGGAACCGGTGGGCAGCACATGTGCTTGTGGCTCTGCCAGGTTCCCCGTCACCCCGCTGTGCCACCGGGCTTGGTTGGCAGCCACACCCCGGGTGGGGGGGGGTCCTGGCTCATGAGGATTGTGAGGGTCTGTGCTTCAGGCATCGGCAGGCAAGCCCCAGAGTTGGTCGTCCAGCAAAGCAGTGATGCCACGTGGAGGGCGGCAGCCGCCTCAACGCATGTGGGCTGGCCCAGGACATTGATGCTTGAAGTGTAGCTTGGATGGAATTTAGACATCTCTGTCCACAAGTCCAATCCTGAAAACGTCTTCTCAGCTGCTCTTAACCTTGGTGGCATTTAAATCCTAAGTGCAAGAAGTGTCACTGTCCCTGCTCTCGGGAGCACGGCACACGAGTGGGAGTGCCCAGCACTCCCTGGAAATGAGCACAGTGTCCATGCCTGGGGCTGGCAGAACCATCACCTCTGCCAGGCAGCTCCACGGCCCACAGATGTTGCTCTGAAACGCCAAAATGTCATCGTCCTCCCTCGGGAGCACAGCACCAGGGTGGTGACACCAGGCACAGCTGACAAGATGGCTGTGCCCTGCTCAGAGCCATGGCTGGAGGCAGCTGTCTGTCTGAGGGCAGCTGTAGCACCCCAGTGTCCCCCTCTTCTGGACCCAGCTCCTCACACATGGCCTGGGGTGGGACCAGCGGGGATGGAGGCGGTGACCCGGGGCGGGGGGGGGGGGGGAGCAGGGGAGGGGTGTTTCTCCACAGGGTGCAGGGCACCCCAAAAGGCCGGAGGTAGAAGGCAGCCCGTGGCTCTGGAGATCTGACACCACATCAAGATGGGGGGACATCCAGGGGTGCTCGCGCTCGGCGCCGGCTGGACCCGTTGCCTGGGGCACAAGTGGCTGGGGGGTGGCCAGGAACAACAGGGACAGAGCAGCACTGTCCAGCTGTAGCGCTTAAGCCTGTGGGAGCTGCAGGGCTCACATGGGCCCGTGAGATGCAGGAAAGCAGCTTAACTGCAGAATTATTTACTTTAACTCCTCTTACTTTAGCTCTGTCCTTAATAGTCTCCCAGGCTCAGGAGGCCGGGCTTACGGGGGGGTCTGTGGACCCCTGCCCCAGGGAAGGGGGGCCGAGGTGGGGGGCTGTGGCCCATCGTCCCCATCCCAGTGCTCAGCATGGCTCCTGAGGCTGAGTGGTGCCGCCGAGCGGGGCCCGGCCAGGCGTGCACAGTCTGGCACAGCCACGCTCCACCCTCCATGCCAGGCTCCATCATGGCATCAGGATGCAGGGGATGTCCCAGGAGGCCTCCCAGAGCCCCCAGCCTGGCGGGCAGCCCAGCTCCGGCTCAGCCTGGCAGGATGGGGACACGGCACCGGTGGCCGTTCCTGTGCCAGGGACACATTTAGGACGGGATTAGAGAGGAGACAGCTGGGGTAGGGAAGGGCAGCTCAGGAGCCCTGGCATGGCAGGGTCACGGGGGTGCTGCATGCCCACGCAAGTGCTGCCTGCTCACCATAAGGCTGCATGTGGTGTGGCTCAGCATGGCTTGGCATGACATGGCTTGCGCGGCACAGCCCGGCACGGCTGGGCACAGCGGGGCTCAGCCTGCAGCAGCTCTGGGTAGGCACCATGCATTGACGATGCCCCTGGTCAGGCAGCGTGCGGGCACACTGGTGTCCCGTGCCTGGTCACACACACACACCTGTGTCACACACCTGGTCACGCACACGCCTGGTCACATGCACACCTGGTCACGCACACGCCTGGTCATGCACACACCTGTGTCACACACGCCTGGTCACGCACACGCCTGGTCACACGCACGCCTGGCCACACACACACCTGTGTCACACACGCCTGGTCACGCACACGCCTGGTCACATGCACACCTGGTCACGCACACGCCTGGTCACGCACATGCCTGTGTCACACACCTTTGTCACACACACACCTTTGTCACACACACGCCTGGTCACACGCACACCTGGTCACACACATGCCTGTGTCACACACCTTTGTCACACACACGCCTGGTCACACGCACGCCTGGTCACACACACGCCTGTGTCACACACCTTTGTCACACACACGCCTGGTCACACGCACGCCTGGTCACACACACACACCTGTGTCACACAGGCCTGGTCACGCACACGCCTGGTCACACACACACCTGTGTCACACACGCCTGGTCACGCACACGCCTGGTCACACGCACGCCTGGTCACACACACACCTGTGTCACACACACGCCTGGTCACACGCACGCCTGGTCACACACACACACACCTGTGTCACACATGCCTGGTCACGCACACACCTGGTCACACGCACGCCTGGCCACACACACACCTGTGTCACACACGCCTGGTCACGCACACGCCTGGTCACACGCACGCCTGGTCACACACACACACACCTGTGTCGCACACGCCTGGTCACACGCACGCCTGGTCACACACACACACCTGTGTCACACAGGCCTGGTCACGCACACGCCTGGTCACACACACACCTGTGTCACACACGCCTGGTCACGCACACGCCTGGTCACACGCACGCCCCGTGCCCGTGTCCCGCGGGTGCATCGCACACCCGCACCCCGCCGCAGCGCCCCACCCGCGTCCCCCCGCCCCCCCGCCGGAACTACTACTCCCAGCAGCCCTCGCGGCTCCCTCTGCCCCGCTCCGCCACTGGCCGGCCTCGGCAGCGCCCCGCCACCGGGCTCCCGATTGGCTGTCCCCATGGCAACGGGCCGCGCGGGGCGGCGGGGGCGTGGCCGGGGGCGTGGCGCGGGGCGGACCCTCCCGGCGCCGCGGGTTTGTCGGCGGCCGCCGGAGCAGAGCGGCGCGGGCCGGGCCTGGGCGGGCCGGGCATGAGGGAAGGCGGGGCGCAGAGCCGCCAGCGCCCCCCGCCCGGGGCCGCCGCGCCGCGGGCAGCCCGGCGGAGCCCACCGGCCCGCGGGCCCTGAGGCGCTGGCCCCCGCTGACCGACTTGCTGCAGCCCGGGGCCGCCGCGGGAGCCGGCTGAAGGGGAACCTGGGCTATGCGGTGGTGGCTGCGCGCCGCCGTCCTCAGCCTGCTCGCCGGCGCTGAGGGTGAGGGGCGCCGGGACGCCCTGCGGCGGAGGGGCCGGGGGCCGGGGCCGGGGCTGGGGGGCCGGGGCGGGAGCGGTTGCGCTGCCGGCGGGGCCCGTCTGACCGGGGCTGGGCCCCCGGGGCGCGGGTGGCGGCGGGGGCAGCGCACGTGGTGCCGCTTCCCGGGCCGAGGGGCGGTCGGTGCCGCCGGCTGGGAAGAGGTCCGCGGGCTGCGGCGGGGCCCGGGGCAGCGGGCAGGGTCCCGTCCCGCCGGCGGGGCTCACCCTTCCCGTCTCGGTCCCAACAGGCAGCGGCCAGAGCGAGTCCCAGGCCGTGGTGGGGCGAGTTGGAGGGAGCGCGGTGCTGGGCTGTGACCTCCTGGACGCCCACGGGGCCCGGCCCCCGCTCTATGTGATCGAGTGGGTCCGCTTCGGCTTCGTCCTCCCCATCTTCATCAAGTTCGGGCTCTACTCACCACGCGTGGACCCGGAGTATGTCGGTAAGTCCTGTGGCCGGGGTGCTGCGATGGCGGCTGGTTACAGGGTCCAGGGGGAGCCCTCCTGGCCCCAACCTGTGGGCTGAGACAGGTCTGGGGCGGCACATGAGGTCTGCCGGGCTGGCTCTTGCGTCCCGCGTCCCTTCTCTCCTTGGCTGGGCCCCAGCCGAGGGCTGCCGCTGTCAGATTGCATTAATCACGCTCCCAAGGGCCGTGAGGAAGCGTGGGGGTCTCCCTCCAGCCCTGGGTAGCAGGAGAGGGGATGCTGTGGGACCAGGGAGGTCCCTGCAGCAGGGGAGAGAGACCCCTCCTTGTGCAGCAGCTCCGGGGATGGCTGGAGTAGGAGGCACAGGGCTGCAGATATGCAGCTGGCAAGGGAGATGCAGCTCCCGGCCCAGCTCAGCAGCGAGCAGGATCCCCACCGGGGTAGAGGGTAGGAGAAGCTGCCCAGACAGGCGGGTCCTGGCATACCAGCCACGGCACCCATCACCGGGCACCCATCACTGTGGCCTCGGGCTGCTGGGGCCTCCCCCAGCGCCACCCACTTGGGAGCAGGCCGGGCCAGCGCCTGCCTGGCTGTGCCCAGGCTGTGGCATCACGGCACTGCTTGCCACGCTACCCTGACTCCCCTGTCTGTCCACTGCGCTGCAGCAGGGCTGGTGCTGGAGGCTGCGGGTGCCCCGGCGCTGCCACACTGCTGCCTCGGCCCATGTGGGTCGCTTGAAGGTTGAGCCTGGGGAGGGGATTTTGGTGAAGCTGCTAATTGGCAGTGCTGGGCTGACTGGGATTTGGAGCAAAGCTCTGCTGGGGAAGGGCTGTGGCGTGGGAGGGCGATATTCTCCTCTTTACGGGGTATTTAAAGTGAAGCAGTGACAGACCTTGAGGGATCTCTGCGAGAGCAGAGATGAAGACAACAGGAGCGTTCCCCAAGGATGGGGAAGCTGGGGAGGAGGGTAAGGGCTGGCAGCTGGCTGGTGTTTTGAGCTGAGCCCGGCCCTGATAGCCTGTGGCACTGGTGCACCAAAATCTTCCCTCCAGTCCTCCCATGGGACCACATGGGGAGGGCTGGAGAGCCAGATCGTGCTTAGGTCAGGAGCCTGCCCCTCCCACTGCCGAAATTGGCCCTTGCCTAAAAAAATGCATGGCAGGCTGAGGTTTGAGCCAACCTCTCTCCTGCCTTGCCACGGGCGGAGCGGTGCTGCTTCTTCCCAGACTCTGCAGGAGGAGGCTGATTTTGGGGCACGCCTGGGCCTGTGCCTGGGGACACCACCACTCTGCAGCCAGCCCCAAGCTGGCTCTGTGGGACCGACGGTGACAACAAGGCACCTGCTTCCCTGGGAGGCCTGGGCTGGGCTCCTGTTACCTGAGCCTGGCATCGTGGGGCCCCTTGGCTGCCGGAGCTCAGGTTACCCAGAAAGGGCCTGGCAGCATCCTGCCTGCACTGCCCTCAGCCCTCCCCCTTGTCCCGGGGGCTGTGTGAGCGGGTTGGGGGCTGTGTGAGCGGGTTGGGGGCTGTGTGAGCGGGTTGGGGGCTGTGTGAGCGGGTTGGGGGCTGTGTGAGCGGGTTGGGGGCTGTGTGAGCGGGTTGGGCTGCTCAGGGATCAGTGCTGGGAGTGGGTAGATCAGTGCTGGGGGAAGGGGTCTGGAGGCTGCAACGAGGGCGAGGTGGGTGGGCAGGGGGACTGATGGCTGTCACCATGGCAGCGGCTTGTCTTCAATCCTCTGGGGGGGCTGGGAAGGGATGGAGGGAAGGCCAGGGGCTGTGGGTGCAGGGTAAGGGCAAGGGTAGCCGTTCCTTCCAGCCCTTCCCAGGTGGAGCAGAGTGGATGTCAACCGGAGGGGCCGGGGGGGGCTGCAGTCACCCACATCCCTCGTGGGGCAATTCAGGGCATCCTGGGGACAGGGTGGGCTGCAGTCACCTCTGTGAGAGCCCTTGGGGGAACGGGGTCAGCTCTCCCCCTCATGTGCCACTGTCCCCCATGGTGTTATGGGCCACTGTCCTCTGCTGTCAGCTGGCCTGGAGTGGGGCCAGTGGTCCCTGGTCTGGCCGCCTGCTCAGGCACCCCATCCCTGACGGCAAGCACAGCAGCTAGGGCTGGAGCCCCCTTTGTGTCCCTCTGAATGACGGTTGCCAGGCACTGGGGGATGCTGGTCTGGAGGGCAGCAGCAGCGGTTTTGTTATTGTCAGAGTGGTGGAAGAGGAGGAGGGGGCTGGGGCCGGTGTGGGGGATTAGGAGGAGGCTGAGGGGGCGTCCCCAGGGCACTCTGATCCCTTCCAAAGGGACCTTTGTTCAGGAGCCTGCTGCTCTTGCCTGGCTCCTGGAGGCTGGGAGCTGGGAGCTGCAGGCAGGGATGGGGTTTCCTGGAGCTCTCTGGAGCTGCACTGCTTCCCAGGGCTTGTCATGGGAGCTGCCTCTGGGGTGAGGGGCGGGAGGACCCTTTGTCCCATGGGTGTCTTGCTATTGCTCCCATCCCTCCAGCTGCTCCTGCCACCGGCCTCATGTTCAAGGTTTGCCTGGGGTGTTGGTTCGTGCTCTGAGGGATGCCACCAGAGGCACCCAGATATGTCCGCCTGTCCCTGCGCCTCCTGCAACAGGCGATACCATGAGTCTGGGTTGGAGCTGGCCTGGGGAGAAGCAGGAGGGGTGGGAGATGCGGCAGGTGGCTGGAAGAAGCTCTGGGCACTACTGGGAAGGGCTTGCACGTGTTTTGTGTGCTGGGTTCACGCAGGGCTGCATGGCCCCAGCACCCCACCCCACGGGGGATCCTGTCCCTCAGCTCCCTGGCCTCTGTGCCCCAACCAGTCTGCCTGGGTCCCACTGCTCCTCCTCCTCTTCACAAGGCTCATCTGGTGGGATGAAGCCTCCTGCTGCCGATAACACGCACGCAGTGCCCAGTCTGGGCTCCAGTGGCTTGGGCAATGCATGGGCACTGCCTGTGACACCAAGCTCCTGCACAGAGCTAAAGGTGGGGGTTTGGCAAAACTCGCTTTGTTGGAAATATTTGAGGAAGCTGCTGGTCCCCAGGAGCTCTGGGATGTCAATGGGAGCATCGTGGACCGCTCCGGTGCCAAGAGCTGTGTGCGGTGCTGCCAGCGCAGTGGCAACAGCCCTGCCGTGGCGTGCTAGGAGCAAGGCCACCCCAGGCAGTAGCACACCTGGGGCTAAACTTGCATCCCCAGCCTGGAGCAGCTCTCTGGGCCCTGGATGTCTGCGGCAGGGTCAGGGGCACATAGCCCTGGGGGTGCTAGAGCAGTGGGTGCCGCTGGCTGTGCGCCCCGGCTGGGGCTGAGCCAATTTTCTGCAGCACTCCTGATACGATTATGGCTCTGATAATAGCCCAGAGGATTAAGGGGCTGTGCTCGCTGTCACTTTGCTCCCTTATCCTCCTCCTTATCAAATGGGGCACAGGGCTGCTGCTGCCTGCTCAGAGCGAGGGCCTCACAGCCCAGGAGAGCCCCCCCTTGCCATGTCCCTCGTGGGGTCTGTAGCACTCGTCCCTGCCAGGCAGGCAAGGGTTCAGCCTGACCCTCCCTGTGCCATGGGGAGAGGGGATGGTGCAGGGGTGCCTGGAGCTTAGCAAGGCTCCTAAGGGTGAGACTGCTGAGGGCGGGGGCTCCCAGGGGAAAGGATGGCTGAGGCTGTGGGGGAAGGCTCCCTGAAAGGCAAGGGGAAATGGGTGCTGGGAGGGATTTTGCAGGCAGGCTGGCAGCTCAAGAGGGCGGCGGAGGGGGTGGTGGGACCAGCTCTCTTGCCCAGATGCTGGGAGTGATGCTCGAGGCGGATGGACCCACCTGGGGTCCCTGCTGAGGCTACTCTACGCGGGGATGGCTGGCAGAGCCCATCACCATGTCCTCTCCCATTTCCCTGACAGCAGCAGGAGGTGCAGTGCTAAATGTCGCTGTGACCAACCTCCACCGTGACACAGCACAGCTTTTGTCCCACGGCCATTCCCAGTCCCCTGTGGCATCAGCCAAAGTGAAGCTCAAGCGTGGCCTGGCTGCACGGGCATCCCTGCTCCCCGGGGAAGCTGCTGAACCTGCAGCAAGGGCGAGTGCTGCGTGGGCGGCCAGCCCGGGGAGGCAGGTAGCCTGGGGATGTGGCTGTCCCTGGACCAGCAGCACTGGCTGTGACAGCCGCTTCTGGGTGTGCAGGTCGTGTGCGGATCGAGGAAGGCGCCTCGCTGCGCATCGACCTCCTGCGTGCTGAGGACCAAGGCTGGTACGAGTGCCGTGTGCTCTTCCTCGACCGGCACAGCACCGATGCCGACTTCCAGAACGGCACCTGGATCCACCTCACTGTCAATGGTACCGGTTGATCCTACCCTCGGTTGCTGCTCTGCTCGCCGCCAGCCAAGATCTCTCAGGGCTGGAAGTGGATCTGCTGGTCTTCCAAGACCAGTTGATCTGGACCTGGGGTGGGTGAGGGTCTGGACTTGTCTTTACAGCACCCCCCACCTTCCTGGAGACCCCCCCTGCATTCGTGGAGGTGCGGGACCGGGACGCGCTGAGCCTTACCTGCACAGCTGTCGGCAACCCCCAACCTGTTGTCATCTGGAAGAGGAGCGACCTGGCTGTCCAGAGTGGAGACACAGTGCAGGTAAGGGTGGCAAACCACCAGCTAACCGCCCTGTGGTGTGTCCCCCACCTCGGCCAGGGTCTCAGGGGGCAAGCAGACATGCAGAGCAATGCAACTCTGCTCGGCTGGAGAGAGAGGGCATCTTTCCCCACCCTGGTGGCACCCATCTCCTGCCACTGGCCCTGCCCACAGCACCACCTTCCTGAGAGAGTCCCGTCCCTTGGTGGCCATGCCATGTGCCCGGTGCCCTTGCAGGTGAGGAATGGGACGCTGAGCATCGCCGTGGTGGAGCGCACCAGTGCCGGCACCTACACCTGCCACGCTTCCAGCAAGGAGGGCGCCATCGCCCACACCACCCGTGTGCTCGTGCAGGGTAAGGGTGCTCTCCCAGCCCTGTCTGTCTGCGCCGCCCACTGGGTGCTGTGGCAGAGCATGGAGGGAGACATATCATCGGGGTTGGTTTTGGGGCGGGCACAGGTATGATGGGCTTTGGGAGCAGCTGGGGCTGTCCCTGGTCCACAGCCTTTACCATCACCTCTGCTCCACGCTGCAGGGCCACCCGTCATTGTGGTGCCACCCCAGAACATCACTGTCAACATCTCTCAAGATGCCTTCCTGGCATGCCAGGCTGAGGCGTACCCAGGAAACCTCACCTACACCTGGTTCCAGGGCAGCAGCAATGTCTTCCACCTCAGGTACAGCGGGGACAGGGATGTCACTGAGGTGGCTGCGGGCTCCTGCTGGCAGTGCTGGGGCTGGTAGGGGCTGCTATGGCCCTGCAAAGCCTGGATCTGAGCGCAGTGGGCTGGCTGCATGCGTGGCAGGGGGGTTTGCTCATCGCAGGGCAGTGGGGACAGTCCCAAACACCCCACCCACCACTGCCCTCCCCTTCTCTTGCAGCCACCTCCAGGCTCGGGTCCGCATCCTGGTGGATGGGAGTCTGTTGCTCCAACGAACGACCCCAGATGATGCCGGAAAATACACGTGCATCCCCAGCAACGGGCTGTGGAAGCCACCTTCTGCCTCAGCCTTTGTCACAGTGCTGTGTAAGAGCCCGGCCGCCCCTCGCAAGCCTGGGCCATGCTGTCACCAGCTCCACTCACGGAAAGGCCCTGCTGGGCCAGCCTGTGGGGGTTCCTGGAAACCATGGTGGGAAGGGGCTGTCCCCTCAGCTGCCACCAGGATGCCCGCCACCCTCACACAGGCCCTGTCACCCTGTTTGTCCTCACAGATCCAGCGCAGGTGACCACCATGCTCCCAGAGACCCACCTGCCCAAGGGGATGCAGGGTGTCATCCACTGCCCCACCAGGGCCAATCCCCCCCTGCTCTCCGTCAGCTGGACAAGGGACGGGCTCCCGTTGGAGCTGGACAAGGTACCACCTCTTTCGTCCTCCCCTGCCTTCCCACCCCCTTGAGCCCCCCGTCCTGATCCCACATTCCCCTCTCCCAGTTCCCCGGCTGGTCCACAAGACCAGACGGCTCCATCGTCATCGCGACGGGGAACGACGATGCACTGGGAGTGTACACGTGTACCCCGTACAATATCTACGGCACCGCCGGCAAGTCCCAGCCCACGCGTGTCCTGCTGAAGGTGAGGCTGGGTGGGTGGGCACGCTGCTGTGCCGAGCAGCCCAGGTGTGCTGTGTGCCCATTGGCCTGCCCTGCTCTGGGCCTGCGCCCAAGCCCCACATTGCGCATGCCTGTCTTCCAGGACCCCCCTGCCTTCACGGTGCGCCCCAAGGAGGAATACTTCCAGGAGGTGGGCCGGGAGCTGGTGATCCCCTGTGCAGCCCATGGGGATCCCCCACCCACTGTCACCTGGATGAAGGTAGGAGCTGTTCCTCTGGGGAACCAGCGGAGCCCTCCTGGGAGGTGGACGCTGCTTTTGTCCTCTGGGACATCACTCCTAGGGTAGTCTGCATGTCCGTGTCCCCGCAGATGTGGCAGGGTCATCTCTCTCCTGGTTACTGTGGGAGAAGAGGCCCAGGGCACTTTGCTTGTGTTGCCCTCTAAGAAACCAGGGTAAAATCCTGCCCCTCAGTTTCTAAACCAGCCCCAGAGTGGTGGACCATGTCAAGTCCTGCTTTCCCTGCGGTCCTGGTGCTGCAGGGTTGCAGCAGAGCAGCTGTCCCAGCCCTGCGGTGGGGTGGGCTGGGTGACCGACACTGTCAGTGTGTCTGTGCCTTGCCACGCAGGTGGGCAGCGCGGGGAAGAGCGGGACCCAGATGGATGGGAACAGCAGCCTCGTCTTCCGCCCACTTGTCAAGGAGCAGCACGGGGTCTGGCAGTGCATGGCCACCAACCAGGTGGCCAGCATCACCACCACCACCTCCGTCCATGTACTGGGTGAGTTGCCAGTCTCTGGTGGGCAGGCATCATCTGTGGCTGCCCTGGGGTGGACAACAGTGGCCCCCCTCCCTTGCTGGAAGGGGTGGAAATGCCCCTGCATGTCTGTTGTCCAAGCTGCCCAGTCTAATATGTCTTTTCTTTGTTTCCCCTGCCAGGTACCAGTCCTCACGCTGTCACCAACGTCTCTGTGCTCCCGCTCCTGCTGGCAGCCAACATCTCCTGGGAGCCAGGGTTTGATGGAGGTTATTTCCAGAGGTTCAGCGTCTGGTACACACCGCTGTGAGTCCCTGCAGGCAGAGCCTGGTGTCCCACACTGCCTCCATCCCACCTGGGGCTCTCGGCTCTGGAATCACAGGTCCCACATCTCCTCAGGGTGAAGCATCCACCCCGCGCCCATCATGACTGGGTGTCGCTCTCGGTGCCAGTGGGGGCTCAGCACCTTTTGGTGGAGAATCTGCAGCCAGACACAAGCTACCAGTTCAGCGTTCTGGCCCAGAACAAGCTGGGCAGTGGCCCCTTCAGCCAGATTGTCACCTCTGTGCCCAGGGGTAAGAGGGGGCCCCATGTGGTCCCCAAAGCAGCCCATGTCCCCTCAAGCACCGGAGAGGTTCCTGTTTCTGCCCTACTGTCCCCCGGGATCAGATCCCACACCAGCATCCCCTTTCTCTTCAGGCTTCCCAGTGACCACAGTGCCTCCAGAGCCGCCGGCCATGACCATGCGTGTCTTCCTGTCCCCGCCGCAGGCTCTGACCGCCAACGAGACCGTGCGCGGGGTCCTGCTGCAGTGGGAACCCCCAGCTCAGTTCTCGGTGGCGCTGAGTGGCTACGGTCTTGAGCTGCGGCAGGACAAGGGCGGCTGGGAGGTGCTGGACCACTCCATCCCCAGCACAAAGACCCAGGTCCTGGTGCCAGGACTCATAAAGGTGGGAATCTCACCAGGTGCTCCCTGGCTGTGGGGCAGCTCTGGGGGGACGCAGCAAGGGAGGGGTCAGGTCTCTTGCATTGCTGCTACCCGGAGATGGGATATCTGTCAATGCCACAGAACCGCTCGGCTCTGCCGCCGTGTGAGCTGAGGCTTGGCTGGCCACCGTGCCAACAAGGCTAATGGCCCTCTGCTCCCCCAGGACGCCTTCTACGAGTTCCGACTGGTGGCCTTTGCTGGCAGCTACATCAGTGATCCCAGCAATACAGTGAACGTCTCCACAGCAGGTAGGGCCCGAGCTGCCACCCACTTGCTCTTCCTGCCCTGGGGACAGAAACCAAAGGTGTAAAGTGCCCAGTGTGGTCTAGGATCTTCCCAAACAGAAACCCCCTCAGTCTGCTCCCAGCCCCAAATGTCCCTGCTGCTAGACCAGGAGACTCAGAGCCCAGAGCAGAACCCCCAAAGCTAAAGCCATGGGAACACACCCATCTCCACATGCAGAACTGGCGTGACTTTTGTCTCACAGACCAGGTAGCAGGAGAGCTCTGTGCAGAACACCCCTGTTCCTGGTGCCCAGCATGGTGGAAGGCATGGGTCTGCCTGAAGGCAGACTGGCCCTGCGGGGTGAGAGATCCAAGGCTTCGCTGTTTATCCCAGTGGTGCTGGCGATGTGAGGGAGGCTGTGCTGGTGTGCTCTGCAGGCAGCTGAGCCTCTGATGGTGTCTCCTGTCTGACCCAGGCATGGAGGTGTATCCGTCTCGCACCCAGCTGCCAGAGCTCCTGCCACAGCCAGTGCTGGCTGGGGTCATCGGGGGGATCTGCTTTCTCAGCATGGCTGTCATCTTCAGCACCATGGCTGCCTGCATCATGAACCGCCGGCGTGCTGCCCGCATACAGAAGCGAAGGCAAGGTAGGAGCCAGCTGTCTGGGCGCAGGCACCTGGATCCTGGGGCTCCCAGAGAGCTTGAAGCACCATGTGTAGGGTGGCAGGACCTGGTGCTGAGGGAGGGGACAGGCCAGCCTGGGGCTGGGGGGCTCACTAGGTGTGGTAGTAGGGCTGAGTGGGTGCCGCCGTCTCCTCATCATCACTTTGAGTTGCTTGCTGTGTGATTCCCCCTTGTGTTCTCATGACCTTCCAGATCCACCACTCGTCTTCTCCCCCAGCAAGAAGCTTTCACCTCCACAGTAAGTCATGCCATGCCACTCTCCCTCCCCATCTCGCTCCATGCCCCATCATTCACTTGCCACTGGCTGGGGGCAGAGGGACAGGCTAGGGGGCAGCTGGTCCCCAACCACTGGCCAAGGACTGGCCACAGAGGGGGCGTTAGGAGCTGGGTGCTGGGGTCAGGGCATGCTGTGGGGTAGGGCTCCCCCGGGGAGTTTTGGCTAAAGAAAGGCTCAGAAAGCACAGAAGTGGGGCTGTTGAGCCCAGAGCAGTGGCACAGGGTCACAGTACCTGCTGCCGGGTGCCTGGCACAGGGGGCAGCTGGACAAGCCTGCAGTTGGGACAGGGGTGCTGCAGCAGCTTCCTTCTTCCTTGCAGCAATTCTCGTGGCTCTGGTGGCCCAGACAGCACCCTGAAGCTGAAGCTGCACCCGTCTCCCTACCGGAGCCTGCGCCGGACACTGCTGTGGGGTGAGAAGGCCAGCACCAGCCTGGGTCTCAGCATCGCCGGGGCCAGCTCTCAGTATGCTGTGTATGAGAGCCACGTTGGGGAGCATGTGCCCCTGGAGCGGATTTGCCGTGGCCCTGACGGGCGCTTCGTGGTGGAGACCGACACGCAGCCGCGGGAGAGCGGCTTTGGGGCACTGCCCTACCCTGAGCCAGAGCCCTACCCCCACCGGGACCCTCTGGGGCCACAGCCCGAGTCCTACCTCCAGCTGCCCACAGAAGAGGAGGAGGAAGAGGAGGAGGAAGAGCCCATCTGGCCCAAGGGGGTCTCACTGCACCCCAGGCCAATAGGGCAGGCCTGCCGGGGAGCCCGGGCTGCCAGCCACCACCGGGGCCGCTACTTGAGCTACAGCAGCAGCAGCCCCGTGGATGAAGCCACGGCGTTGTGCATCGTCAACATCAGCCCCGTGGCCTCTGCCGCAACTTTGCCTTACAGCACCATGGAGGAGCTGCACGGCAGCCCTGGCAGCGCCAGGCCCTGCCAGAGCACCGCCAGTGCCCTGTGGGACTCGCTGCCCCTTGAGGGCTCCCACCAGCCGCCCCTCAACCACTCAGCCTCCCCCAGCCCCAGCTCTGGGGGCAGCCAGCAGCCGGCCGGCCCCCTGGCACAGAGCGGGATCCTCCAGTACCTGAGCCTGCCCTTCTTCAAGGAGATGTGCGTCGATGGTGACTGGCCACCCCCGGAAGAGCCGGTGGAGCCCAGCCATGCTGGTGGCCAGCCTGAGACTGCCGACAGCCCCCTGCCCACCCCACCGGGGAATGGGGGCTCCCCACGGCGTGCAGGGCAGACGCTGTGCCCGGACTGTGTTGATACATGTGCCAATGCCACCTCCCCGCTAGCCACTGCTTTCCTCAAGCCCCCCAGACTGCCAGTGGGTCCTGCCAAGGCTGCGCTGCCTGGCACGGCCGCCTGGCCTGGCTCCTCCAGCCCCGGGGCTGGCCTGCGGACCCCTCCCCAGCCAGCTCACCGCCTCCCTGCCGGCAGCAGCAGGACTGAGGCCGTGCCCTCGGCTGGCACTGTGGAGCCCAGCTGGGCACTGGGCCGGCCGCCGGAACCTGCCCCCCCAGAGAAGCTGCCACGGGGCAGTTTGACCAGCCAGAGCAGCGGCCGGGGCAGTGCCTCCTTCCTGCGGCCCCCCTCGCTGGCGCCGTCCCTGGGGGGCAACTGCCTGGGCCCGTTCCTCGGGGATGGGGGCAGCTGGCAGAGCAGCAGCTCGGCAGCGGAGGAGGGCAGGGCAAGGACGGATCCCGCCCTGGGCAGCATTGGAAAGAGGTGAGCCACAGGCAGGACACCGGGGACAAGCTGGCTCATCCTGGGGCAGCTCTCTGCCTCAGAGCTGCCCCTGCAGCACCTTCCCTTGCTCCCTGGGGACACCCCGCTCTGGGGTCCCCACCATCCCCAGCTCTCCCCACAGCATCCCTGACTGCCCTCGCACCAGCTGCCTGCTTCCCCACCATGTCCCTAGGTCGGGGGGGGTGGGGGGGGTGGCGGCTGTGTGGGGACTGTCCTGACACCCATCCACGCAGGAGGAACACCTCGGTGGACGAGAACTACGAGTGGGATGCGGAGTTCGCCCTGGAGTCGGACATCCTCGAGGCGCTGCAGCTCTACCGCAGTGGGGACCCGGCACGGCCCGTCTCCACCATCGCCCTGCGTGACCTGGAGCGGCAGAGTGAGTGCGGAACCCCCAGACTCCCTGAGCCCGCGACTGCGGGGCAGGGCGCTGGGGGAAGGGGGGGTGGCAGGGGGTGACCCCGCCGGGGGGTGACGCAGCCGGGCCGGACACTGCCCGTCTCCTCGCAGAGCCCGGCGGCGGGTCCTCCCCGGTGAGCTCGGTGTCAGCGGAGGCACTGGCGGCGACGGGCAGCGTCCCCGAGCGCGGCGCGGCCCTGCGGCAGGAGCTGGCAGCGTCCCGGCGCCGCAGGGAGCTGGCCCGGCAGCGGCTGGGCCCCCCCGGGTGCGGGGCGGAGCGCTTCGAGCTGGCCACGCTGCTCTAGGGCCCCCCCGGGCCGGGGCAGGAGGATAGCGGGGTGAAATAAAGAGACGTGAGCGCAGCGCCGGCTGATGCGTGGCGGAGGGGCAGGTGCCCACCACCCCCGGGCTGGGCCCCTCGCCCCTCCAGGGTCCCGCCGCTTCCCCCTTCACACGCCCCCCGCCCCGGCGGTTCCCCTGGCCCCTGTAGGGCCCGAGGCCCGCACTGTGCCCCCCCTCGCACTGCTGCCTTGCCCCCGCCATGTGTCCCACCCCCCCCACCCCCCCCCAGCTCGGGCGGGGGGGGCCTGGCGGTGGCTCCGCACGGGGCGGGGCCTGCGCGCCTCGTTCCCTTATATGGTCATCCCGCGGGAGCGCGTCACGGGGGCGAGGCCTGGAGCGCGCTACGTCACCCGCGGCAGCGGGGCGTTCCGGGGGTCGCCTGTGGGCTGTGCCCCGGGTCACATCGGGTCACGCCGGGGTCCCGCCCATGGGTCACCCGTGTCCCCGGGGTCCCCCCGTGTCCCTTCTACCAGCCCCACCCCTTTCCCCCAGCTCCTCCGCCGTGTCCCCGCGGGGTCCTGCCTGTCACCCCCGCATCACCCCTGGATGCATCCCCCCACACCCTGCCCTGTGCCCCCCCCTCAGCTTCGTGTCCAGCCTCCACGCGGGGTCCTGTCTCCAGATCACCCTGCCTTACCCCTTGCTTCCTCCGCTCCAGTCCTTCCAGGATTCTGCCCTTGTGTCACCATTTTCCTAATCTCTGTGTCACCCCCGTGGGCCCGGCCCCCTGTACCATCCCCCCCCTGCTCTCTGTGTCACCCTGGGCTACAGCCCCTTCCCCAGTCTTGCCGTCCCTCTGTCACCCTTAAAGCCGTTTCCCTGGGTCCTGCCCCTGTGCCACCCTCAACCTGCCACCCCTACCCCCATTTCTGCACCACCTTGTCCCTCCCCCTGTCCCACGGGTCTCCCTGGTTGGCCATGTTACGTGCCAGCCCCTGCCCTGGTCCCCTCCTCCGCCTGTCCCCTAGCCATGCACCCATGTTACTGAAGCCAGGGGAAGCCCCACTGGAAAGCCCCAGGGGACACCCACATCCTGGGGTTAGGGGGGGCATCAGGGCCAACACCCAACCCCTCACGTGGCACCCAGGGGTCCAGGATAGCCACTGGCCATCGCAGGGGGGGACAGACACACTCCAAGGCTGGTCCCCACCATGATGGTGTCCTTGCAACTAAGCTCCAGAACACGGTGGCACCTCAGACTGTCTGGGGAGGGTGGGGGCCGAGTCCAGGACGGATTTTGGGGGCTGGGGTTGTAGGGAGTGCCATGGTGGCGGCCCTGCCCCCTGTTCCAGGGGCGGCCGGTGGCTTTGGGCCGAGGTTTTGTTTGTTGTTTTGGTCGCGCTTCCCATGGAGACAGGATTGTGCAAGCGCCATCGTCCCTCCCTGCACCGCCGGAGACACCGCACGTGCTGGGGATGTGTCCCTGCGGGGCCCGCTGTCCCCCTGCCCCCATCGCCAGGCCCTGGTGGTCCCCACCACCTCCCCTTCCACTCTTGGCTCCTGTCCCCATCACAGCCTTGTCCCCCACTGCCACCACGCCATGCTGTCTTCACCACGGTCACCACATTCCCTACAGCCACCCCGTCCCCACAAAAACCCTGATGTCCCTCAAACACTAGGGCCAGCCCATCTCTACCACCACAGCCACCCTGTCCCCGCCAAACCCCCGACGTCCCCCTGCCGCCACGGCTGCCTTGTCTCTACCGCAGCCCTTCTGTCACCTTGTCCCCCACTGCCACCCTGACACCGCTGGCACCCCCACCCATCTCCTCCCGGGCTGGAGCCCGCTCCCCGCGAGACGGGGCGGGGGTGCGGTGGCGGCGCGGCCCCGGCCCCGGCCCCGGCCCGGCGGACCCGCCCCGGGAGCGGGCGGTACCGGGCCGCCCCCGGCCGCGCTGACATCAGCCGTGAAAAGGGCGCGGGCGGCGGCATCCGCCACCACCGCGCCGGGACCGCGGGATCGGCCGCAGGTAGGGGCGGGAGGGGCGCGGGCAGCGGGCAGCGCCCGCGGGCGGCAGGTGGGGACGGGGACCCGGGACCGGGACGGGGACCGGGACGGGGACGGGGACCGGGACGGGACCAGCCGCTCTGCCCTAAAATGGCCGGGACTGCGCTGCCCCGGGAGCCCGGAGCGGGACCGGTCCCCCACGCTGCCCCCACGCCCCGCCGGGGTAACGGCTCCGGTCAGGACCGGGCGCCGCGCCCGTGGGGCCGCCGGGACACGCGGCCGCGCCCGGGAAGCGAGACCCGGGGTGCGGCTTCCGGCCCCGCCGCTCCGGGCGCTCCGTCTGCCCCAGGGCTGCGCCCCGTCCGAGCCCCGGTCCCCGCCTCGCCGGCTCCAGGGTGGCCGTGTCCTGGCCAGGCTGGGTCCAGTCTCCCCCTCGTGCCTCCCAGGGGCCCGCGGCGTCCCCAGGGTGGCCCCGTCCCCTCTGGTCACCCACCCTGGTCTGGCTGTGGGGTCCCCAGGGAGGCTGTGTCCCAGCCGGGGGTCCCCTCCTTGCAGGCCCCGGGAGGCTCTGGGGACCGGCCCCAGGTTGGCCATGCCCTGGATACAGTCTTCAGGATGTCTCGGGGGCCCCTCCCTAGGGGCACTGGGGGGGGGGTTAGGGGGTCCTCGGGGTGGCTTGGTCTCAACTGGGCTGGGTATAGTCCTCTCCCTGCTGGCCCTGGTTGATCTTTGGAGTCCCCAGTCTATCTCTGGGGATACACGGGTGGCTGCAACCTAACTGGGAACCCCTCCCCGCAGCCCCCAGGATGCCAGGGAGGGTCCTCAGGTTGGCCGTGCTGCAGCTGGCCTGGGCATGGTCCCCTCCCTGCCGCCCCCGGGGCTGCTCCGGGCTCCCCAGGGTGGCTCTGCCCTCCTGCGGTGCCCGTGGGGTCCTCAGCGCAGCGGTGGTGCAGCCAGGCTGGGTCTGGCCCTCCCCTCTCGTCTGGGCAAGCCCCAGCTGTGTCGGCAAATCAGCCCTGTCTGCACCAATTTCAGCTCCTCTTTGTTTCCCAACCGGCTTGGCCCTCGGCCGGGCGCTCCCCACACTCCGGGGAAGCCGACTCCCTCCCTGCAGGGGCTGCCCGCACCCCAGCCCTCGCCCCAGGGAGCCCCACAGCAGCCGACAGCTTTTGGGGGGACGCCCAGCTGGCCCAATGCAGTCTGCAGTTTTGGGGTGGCTGTGGTGCTTGAGGCTTCGCACAGCTGCCCCGCTGCCGCTGCTGGCTTCCCTGGCGGCTTAGGTTTGATTTTCCTCCTGTGCTGATAAGCCAGGGTGGCTTGTCCCCCGGCTGCTCCTGCTGACAGAAACCCCAAGCCTGGAGCCAGGTGTGTGACAGGATCGAGCTCTGTCCCAAACTGAGCCTGGTCCCCCCAGGCGTGGGATGGGCTGCCCCATGTTCCCAGCTGGGGTGCGGGTGCCGGGGCTGGCACCCCTGGGAGGAGCAGCGTGTGCTCCTGCTTCTGCGTGCCAGGGTGCCCCACAAACCCCAGGGGTGCAGGACTGGGTGCGGGATGCACGGCCTGGGCAGCCATTGCTGGTGGGTAGAGGGGGTCCAGACCACCCCAGGGCTCCGGAGCACCCTGGCTGCATGGGCAGGGCAGCACTGGTCTGCTTGCATCACCCCGTGAGCACCTTGCACAACCTCCGTCCTCCCCAGTCCGGGCGCCACTGCTCCCGTGGCACCTTGGCAACGGCAGTGCCCACCCAAGGGACTCACCATGTCCAACTTCCCTGTCAGGGTGGGGGCACTGCGGCCCAGGGCCCCGTGGTCCCGGATCTGGCACCCAGCCCGAGCAAACGGGCAAGCTTTGCAAACAAGCTTCAACTGGCAGTGAGCGCCTGCCAAATCTGCGCGTGCTTGGTGGGGCTGAGCCGCGGGGAGAGGGATGCTCGGGGCGGGGGTCCGGCCTGGGCACGGAGGGGCCATGGTGCTGCCCACCTCTGCCCAGGGTCGAATTGCCCCGGTGCCCTCGGGTAGGCGCAGACCCCGCGCCCAGTCCTGGCCAGCTCGGCAGGAAGCCTGCAGGGCAGGGCAGAGCCCGGGCAGTGCCTGGCACAGGCGATAAGGTTCCACGCCGGACGTCCAGGCAGGATGGGGCTCTGCCACGCTGCTGGGGAGCAGCAACCATGCCTGCTGTCACCCGCTGTCCCCAAGGGGCTCCACCACACTGCGGCCATGGGGCCACGTCCACCCTGTGCCACGGGACCCACTGATGGGGGCTCCGATCTCTGCAGACCCCCCCCCTCCATCAGCATGGCAAACCGGGGACCATCGTACGGCCTGAGCCGGGAGGTGCAGCAGAAGATCGACCGGCAGTACGACCCCGAGCTGGAGCAGATCCTGGTGCGGTGGATCCTGGCCCAGTGCGGCGGGGATGTCGCACAGCCGGCGCCTGGCAGGGACGGCTTCCAGCAGTGGCTGAAGGACGGCACCGTGAGTACCTCTGGGGCCGGCCGGGGCGGGGGGCCGCAGCGCCGTGCCGCCTGACCCCCGGCTCCCGCCTGGCCAGGTGCTGTGCCGGCTCATCAACAGCCTGCACCCGCGGGGCCAGGGGCCAGTGGCCAAGATCCAGGCGTCCGCCATGGCCTTCAAGCAGATGGAGCAGATCTCGCAGTTCTTGCAGGCGGCCGAGCGCTACGGCATCGCTGCCACAGACATCTTCCAGACGGTCGACCTCTGGGAGGGTGAGCAGCTGGGTGGGCATGGGGCGCCGGGATGGGAATGGGGATCAGGACCGGGATGGAGATGGGGATGGGAATGGGGATCGGGGTGGGAATGGGGATCGGGGTGGGGATGGACATGGGATGGGAATGGGGATCAGGATAGGGATGGGGATGGAGATGGGAATGGGGATTGGGATGGGGATCAGGATGGGCATGGGAATCAGGTTCAAGATGGAGATGGGGATCGGGATGGGGATGGAGAATGGGTTGGGGATCAGGATCAGGATGGGGATCGAGATTGGGATGAGTATCAGGATGGGGATGGAGATGGGATGTCAATGGGGATCAGGATCAGGGTGGGGATGGGGGTGGAGCCGAGCCTGCATGCGGCCTTGCAGGGAAGAATATGGCATGCGTGCAGAGGACCCTGATGAACCTGGGCAGCCTGGCTGTGGCCAAGGGCGACGGGATCTTTGTGGGAGACCCCAACTGGTTCCCCAAGTAAGTGGTGGGTGCTGGGGGGGGGGCAGAGGGCTGTTTGCGGGGTGGGGTTCCCGTGGGGATGCTGACGCCTGGCCGTGCCCGCAGGAAGTCGCAGGAGAACCGTCGCGTCTTCTCGGAGGACAAGCTGAAGGAGGGGCAGAGCGTCATCGGGCTGCAGATGGGCACCAACCGCGGCGCCTCGCAGGCTGGCATGACGGGCTACGGCATGCCCCGCCAGATCCTCTGAGCACGCGGACCCCCGCCCTGCCTGCAAGGGGCCCCCCGGGGCCGGCCCCCACCCTGCCTTAACTCCCCCCCCACGGACCAGCCGGGTGCCCCCAGCCCGGGCGCCCACCCCTCCGCCGCCAGTATTTCCAGGACCAAAATCTTTTTTTATAATTATTATTATTTTGTTGGGTGCGGGCGGCGGGTGGGGGCATTTTCACGCCGCCCGCCCCCCCACCGCTGTGCCTACATCCCCCCAGTGCCTTGGGGGCCGCCGTACCCCCCAGCCCCGTTGCTGTGTGGGAGGGGGGGAGGCGCCCCCCCACCCCAATAAACAATTCCTCTTCTTTCTAGGCGTGGGTGGTCGTGATGAGGGGGGGCTGTGGGTGAGGGGACACCCCGGAGCAGTTGGGGGAACCCCAGCCCGGGGGCGCCCGGACCCCACGGCGTGGTGGCAGCCGGGCCACGGGGAAGGGCGGGGCGGTCGCTGCTGCCGACCCCCGTGGGGTTGGGGGGGCCGTGGGAGGCGGTCGCGGGGGGAGTGGGGGCGGCCGGAGGGCGTGGCTGGGGAGGGGAACACGCCGCGGGACGCGCGGGCCGGACGGGCGTGTGCTGCGCGTGCACAGCGGTCCCGCGGGGTGATCTCGGCCGCGCGGGCGTGTGCACGCGTGGGCAGGGCGGTGCCCGCCCGGGCGCGGCCGCCTTGGCCGGGCTCCTCGCGCCGGCCCCCACGCGTGCGCAGGCGCGCGGCCAGCGCGAGCGCCAGAGGGAGCCTGCGGGCGTGTCCGGGCGCGCGCCGGGCCCTTGCACAGCCCCTGCGTGCACCAATCCACGCGTGAACACACACACACCCCCACACACACCCCGCGCCCCCCACCATAGAGTTGCCCTCCCGTCGGCCAGGGCGGCCCTCCGGCCTCAGCCCCGCCCCCGCCCGCGCGGCCGTTGCCAGGGCAGCGGGGGGGGGGGAAACGGACGTTGCCATGGCGACGGCCGGCGGCCGCCGCGGAGCGGGATGGTGAGCGCGGCCTGTCCCGGTGCACCGGGCCCGGCCCGGCCCCTCCGCGCCGCTTCCCCGGGGTCCCCGGTCACAGCCCCTCTGTCCCCGCAGCCCGCCCGCAGCCAGTCCCGGTGCCGGCGCAGGAGGAGGGCCCGCAGCGCGGCGGCGGATGAGATGGTGCTCAGGGAGGGCCAGGTGAGGAGGACGGGATGCCGGGGGGCACCGCCGCCTGCACCGGGTGGCCGGGACCAGCCCCGTCCCGCCCCGGGCACCGCGATGCCGGGGCACCTCACTCCCGGGCACCCCCCGGGCAAGGGAGCTCCCGGTGCCTCGGCCCCTCGCCCCTCTCTGCCGGGCTTCATCCCGCCCTGCTCGCACCGGCTCGCTTGCCACAGGCTCTTCACTGTGTCCCTCTTCACAGTCCCTGTTTTCCAAAACTCCCCACGCCCTGCCGCCTCTTGTGCTAATTCCTTGCCCCGCTGTGGGAGCCCAATGCTCCGTCCCTTCCAGGAGGGTGCAAAACCCAGCGTGCCAAGGGCTGCCTGTGCCGCCGTCCTCCTTGGCGGCTGTATGCTTCCACTTTTCACAGGGTAATTAGTTAATTAGTGAGACAAACGAGGCTCAGGAGGTGAGGCACCCAGATAGAGGAGTGGAGCCTGTGTTACAGGGTCTGTACGTTAGCGGTTAGTTCATGTGGGCTATGGAGAGAGTCCTTGGAGCGGGGGTTGGAAGCTTCCAGAGCAGCTCATTACCAACATATTTAGATTTTCATCAGGGAGCTATGAAATCAGTCCCCCTGGAGACAAGGCAGAATTGCAGCAGGTCTCTGACCTCCTGGCTGGATGCCCTGGCCACTGAAAGAGGAGATAAACAGAGAGCAACAGCTCTTTCCTCTCCCGTCTTGTAAGGAAAAGGCTTGCTTCCTCCATGCTTGTCCCTTGGCTGCCCCTGGCTCCCACAGAAGAGCCCAGGGGAGAGCTGCAGCTGCTGTCGCCGAGGTGGACGATGTCATTTTCCAAGCAAGGGTGGTGTTTTGGACATCCTTTCCCCACTGCTGCTTCCCCACCTCCTTTATCAACTCTCCCAGGTGTTCTTCCTGCGGCAGGTTGGATTTATGGCTGCCACCGTTGGCTTCCCCTACCCTTTGTGTCGTCTTTGACACAGATCAAGGTACAAGGGCCAGGCTGGACACTGCTGGAGTTTAGTCCATCTCGTGCTCACCGTCTCTTCAGCTGATAAAACGTTGGGGGTATCTCTGTCAGGGCTGTGGTGGGCAGGTGGCTGCCACGAGGGGACTGCGCTGTGTTCGAGGCACTTGTCCCTCCATGGGGGTGTGTGTTTGTGCCTGTCATTTCCTCTCCTGGGTCTTATCGCCTGAAATAAATCTGTCTGAAGAAAACCCTTTGGCTTTTCAGAGGAGAGGAAGGAAGTGTGTAATGAGGATTACCTCCACTCCCAACTGGAGGCTGTGTGGACAGTTTGCCTTGTGGGGCAGGAGGTTGGGAGCGCTCCCAGCAAGTGACCTGCTCTGGAGCTGCTGGGTCCGTGTGCCTCGGACACCCTGCAAGCTGAGGAGCCCCCGGCAGGTTTCCGACCTGTTATCTCGGAGGCCTTCGAGGCAGTTAGATAACAGTGTCGTAACACTCATATGGTTGTTAATCGAATTCCCTGAGATTGATTGAGGTCTAGTCTAAGGAGTTCTCCTGGCTTTGGGGACAATATGCGGGCTGGCTGCTATGAATAACACTATTATCTTTGTTTGCACGGGTGTTTCGATGCCAAACCCTTTAATTCAACAACTCACACCTGGGGCCCACAGTGACTGGGAAGCTGCTCTGGTATCTGCTGTGCTGGGCTGTGGGACACCCTGTGGTTTGGGGCCATCAGACCCATACAATGGAAATATTACCAGCAGCAAGTTCCCAGGGAACTGCTCGGTGCCTGGCTGGCTGTAGAATTTGTTCCAGCAGGTGCTTAGGATTTTAAAGCTGAACTAGTAAATAAAAGGCTAAGGGAAGCCACACATCTGTGTGTACCTTAGATTAGCTTTTGTGGTTCCCTGACTGGGGTGAGGATTTTGCTGGGATGCCTACACTGTGGTTGGGCTCAGGGAAGTGACCCTGGGCTTAGGAAGCCGAACCTGCTGTGCTGGGCTCGGGTCTCCTGGCTGGGGACTGTCCCACTCAGCTGCTTGGAGGTTTGCTCTGCAGACCGGTGCCTGCTCTGAAATGCTTCTTGCTGTGCGATTGTCAGCAGCCTCAGCAGAGCTTCACCTCGGGGCGGACGGGACACCTGTTCCTGCTAATAGAAGACCCTGCAGCCTGATCAGAGGTTCTTGTGGGATGGCCCTATCGTGTGTTTGGGACATCCCTCAGCTGCTTCCACCCCTCTGGGGGTGACCACTGCCCACCCTGCCTGGATAGGATGTGGAGCGGGGTCCCTGAATCACCCCGCAACCGGGTGATGCTTCACTAGATGGCAGTCTCAGCTCAAGCACCAGTCCAGGCTCTGCTGGGAGGACTGGTTTCTGCCCAGTACTGAATGACAGTTGATTGCCCCACAAGGCCAGACCTCAAGCTGTTCCTGCTTCTCCCTCCTCAGGACACCCCCTGCCAGCTCCCAGTGGTTTTGGGTCAGTCTGGGTTGGTTTCCACACAGTTTCTCCTGAGTCCATGGGGCTCAGCAGGACAGAGGTACTGGTGGGCATGGTGAGGAGTGGGGCAGGGGGCAGCTGCCATCAGCTCAAGGTAGCTGAGATGGTGCTTGAGCGTTAGTGAGGTCCTTCCCTGAGCAAGCAGCTATCAGCCCATTGTTTACTTCAGATCTGGGTGAGAGACTGACACCCAGATTTTTATAGTAAAACCAAAGCTATAGAGGTATTTTTGGTTCTCCCCATGTCCTCATCAGGCCTTTGGAACTGGGGCTGCTGAGGCAAAAACCCTTCCCGTGCCCAGACATCACTGGTCTTGGTGGTGCGAGGTGCTGTTTGTCAGAGCTCAGGGGAACTGTGGCCTCTTGTGCCTAGAGCACCTCTGTGCCCAGGATCCAGGGGCAGAGAGCTAGACACAGGCCAGTGACAGGAAAGCCGGAGTAAACGCTGTCCTTTCTTGCAGAGCCTGCAGCCATCGTGCTCCAACAGCCCCGTCGTGATCCTTCGAGATGTGCAGACTGCCCCGAAAGCGTCACCCACTGGCGAGCACAAGCCCAAGACCACCCGTCTCATCACCAAGGACTTGATCCGTGACCTCGTGTAAGTCTGTGCCCAAGTGGCAGCTCTGAGGAGCTTTTGGGGTCCTGCATGTCTGTCACAGCACTGTTTTGGTGCACAGAGCTTGTCTCACAGTTTACCGAGATGTCTTGGGGGAGGAGGGATGGGCAGCAGCGCTCCAATACACCTGGCTTGGTTAGCAATGCGGCCAGCAAGTGCTGAGCACTGAGCATTTTACAGGGGCACTGAATCATCATAAGAACCAGTAAAAAGCAACATAAAATCTTCTCAGCAGCCAGAAAAGCTCTTTTGGAGCTGAACAGCCCCCCAGGGTGGTACCTGCACCCCATCACGTATCCTGTGCCCCAATACCAAAAAGCCCCATGTGAGAACGGCAGTGGTGTGTCACCCACACACCAGGAGCAGGGACATTTTATAAGCAAGGCTGAACTGTAAGAACCCTGGCCCTAATTACTACACATCGTTAAAAGCCTGAAGCACATAGACAAGAATAGGGCCATTATCCCGGCCAGCTCCAATTTAGCCTAATTTTGACCTCCCTAAATTTTCCTTGTAGTTGTCGTTCTGTGCAAGGTTCATCTTTGCTTCCTGTTTTGAACCTCCATGTAATGCTCTTACACCCCATAAAACGTGACATCCGCCCTGCGGGTGGTTTGGGTTTGGGTTTTGTGGACAGTAAAATGGTACAGAGATACTGGTTCAGGCTTTTGAGACTGGTACTTGATTTTATACTTTCACATTCTTCTTTGACCCTGCTACCGAAAGCTGTGGGCCAATTTGCAGATGTGTCGCACAGCCTCAGCTCCAGCTGAAGCTAATGGAAACTGTTTGTGCTGGTTTAATTCCTGAAAATCAGGCCCTAGACATCCCAGGCTGGTCACCCAAACACTGGGACAACTAAAGCAGTGGCCACTGTATCATTAAATTTATTAGTGCCGTTGTGACCATTAGCCATTCTTTAAAGCGTCCTGGAATCCGATGCTGTGATGCAGCTCTCGAACGATCATTATGTAGGTATCTGTTCATATTCACAAGGGTGGATGAAAGGTGACACACAATAATAATGAGTAAATTCTTAGTCCTGAACATCTTCAAAGTGCTCTATGCATTTGGTTAATATATGCTCCTACACCACACGCGTCACCATGGTATCTGAGTAATACAAAGAGTAATTAACTCCTTACAACTCCCCTGGAAAGCAGCCCTGTATTATTATCCACATTTTTACAAGTGGGGAAATGGGGGCACCAAGAGCTTCAGTGATTTCCTCTAAACCACAGCGTGAGTCACAGGCAAAATTCGTGGTGGCAGTGTCCTGCAGAGCCAGGGTGACGGCTGGAGGGACACCTGCCAGCGCTGGGAGGGGAGAGGGTGCTCCGTGTTTGGGCAGCACAGCATTTCCTCGACTTGTGCCAGCTGGATTCCCGGGGCAGCAGAGCCAAAGCCGAGCCGTGCTGTGCAGATCTGGAGCCTGAGCAGGCTGAGTGTCATTAAACAGAGTGAAAAGGCAGCTTCTGCTCCCCAAAATCTGTCCGCATGGAACAGAGGTTTTGATCCGGCATGCAGAAGCAGTGACAGTCAGTCGGAGGTGGGGGTGGGCAGGGATGAGCAGCGTGTCCCGCTGAAAAAGGGGTGAGAGCAGTGGTCAAAATTTTCCCAAACGAGAGCTGGGAAAGTCAAGTTGGACTGAAATACTTTCAACATTTTTTTTTATTGGGGCTGACTAGGCCCATGCTGAATGTTTTGACGTTTTCCCGGGAGGCCCCTGGCCACCCTGCCGAGCATCCTGTCACCTGAGCATCACAGCCTGGAGTCACTTTCACTGCACCTTCTGTTTCTTCCTCCCTCTGACCAGGAGAGTCGGGCCCTCACAGCTCGAGCGCTTCCTGCATTGCTTGTGGGTGACTCCCGGTGGTGGAGCCGCTCCTGCCGCCCCCGGTGTGGGCAGCCCAGGGAGGTCAGCAGGAATAGAAGGAGCTGTCGGAGACTCCGTGCCACTGACTGCCCTCTCTCTGTGCCCTGCTCCCCGTACCACCAGCATCCCTGCAGAGAACCCAGCAGCATCCCTCATTATCGGTCGGGAGGATTTCCAGCGCATTAAAGAAGCAGCTCGAGTCCTGACCAAGGAGGAGCGTGAGGCCAAGCTGGCAGCCCTCAAAGCGGAGACAGAAGCAGTTCTCGTAGGCATTTCCCCTCCTGCCCCTTCTTTCCCTGCTTGCTGGCAGGTCTCAGGCTGCAGGTGGAGGTGGGTGCACCCAGGTAGAGCCAACCTTGTGGGTCAGAGACACACCAGCTGGGGCTGTTCCTGGAGCTCTGCTCAGTGGCCACCACCTTCATCCCTCTTTCACCCATGTTTCGGTATGCCGGGACAGCATGCAAGGGAGGCAGCACAGCTGTGTGTCTTGAGTCTCCTCTGATCCCCAGCCCAGCAAGGGCTGTGCAGGATCCCTGGGTTTTCCTGCTGCATGAGTGGGGAAGGAATCCCATGCTGGTTGTTTGGCTAGCCTGTGGTGACCCTGGAGACTGTGATGAAGCCGCTGTGCTGCATTTCTGCTACCCTGCAACAGGAGCGGGGTTGTCTTAATAGGGACGTAGGAAAGGGCTACCCAGCTCCCGTACCAGGGCTGGCGGAGCCCGCTGTGCCCCTCGGCTCCATTCCAAGGGCGCGGTGCAGTGGAGTGTGCCCCTCGTTAGCCAGGCTGCCCCACACCACCCTCGGGCAGGGTCAGCCTTGCAGGGCTGCCCCGGGAGGGTGTCCGGCTCTCGGCCGCCCTGCCTGTCCCCACAGGAGGCAGTGAGCGAGCGCAAGAACCTGGCGAAGCAAAAGGCCATCCGGCAGCAGCAGGTGGGGAAGCTGAGCGAGCTGGAGGAGGCGGCGCAGGAGCGGGCCCAATACCTGCTGCAGCGGGCGAGCAGGATGCGCATGGAGCAGGAGGACGAGATCAAGGAGTTCAGCGAGGTAGGGCCAGGGCTCCTCGGCATCACCCGGCACCCCAGGACTTCCTGACAGCGTTAAGACCTGCCTGAGCTGCCTGCTCAGACAGGCTGCTGAGAGCCCCCGGGAGCGGCTCTAGACCTAAACCCCGCTCTGCTTGTTGGTACTCAGGGTCTTCCTCTCCTTCCTTTTTCCCCCTCCTCCTCTGTGTGTCTGTCCCTGCTGCCACTGCCAAGTCTGGCTCAGAGACCAGGGAGACCTGTTGTCCCCACAGCTGGTCCTCGGTGCCAAGTGCCACATGATCCGTGACACGCAGATCCTCGAGAAGCAGCTCATCGCGAAAGAGCTGGAGGAAGAAGAGAAGCGCCTGGCCAACATGATGGAGGTGGAGAGGAAGAAAGCCAACGAGATGCAGGAGGAACTGGAGCGCAGGAGGAAGCAGGAGCTGATCAGGTTTGCAGAAGGCTCCCTCTTCCCCGCAGAGGCATTCATCCTCTTCCCAGGCCGTGTGCCGGAGCTAGGGTAATCTCCAGCCACCAGCTTCACACCACAGCAAGCCTCCCAGTCGCTGCGGCTGGACCGGGCAGCATGAGGCAGCAGACACACCACCTGGTGTCTGTGCTGGCATTTCTCCTTCTGGGAGTGGGATGGAGACAGAAGGAACCCTTCTGCTCTCTACTTTGCAGAGGGAGGCAGGAGCTTGTGAAGCAGATGGAGCAGAATGCGGAGGAGCGGGCTCTGAGAGCCGTGCAACGGGACCAGGAGGCACAGGAGGTGCTGGAGTACCTGGAGCGGCTGAAGATGGAGGACCTGAAGGTGCGACCAGTGACCTGCTGGGGAGCAGGGGGGGCTGGAGTTAGATTGTCACCTTCTTGTAAGGGTGACCCGGTGCTAGGTAAGTCAGACATAGTGTGTGGAGACAACAGCTGGCAGAATTAAAGTCTCTTGAGGAAGCTGAGGCATCCTCAGAAAATGACCCTAGCCACTGAGCCCTCCCTCATCCTGAGCGCGCTGCTGGGCCCTCCAGAAGGCACACAGGGAGGAGAAGAGGGAGCACTTTGTGCTGCAGTGCTTGTCCTGTCACCCTTGGACCCTCTGCATGGTTTTCAGGACTTGGAGCGGAGACAGGAGCAACAGAAGAAAATCCAGGCTGAGATTAAACGCATCAACGATGAGAACCAGAGGCTCAAGGAGGAGCAGCGGGAGCAGGAGAGGATGGCAGATGAGCGGGTGCTCGAGTACCAGAGGCAGAAAATGGTAACAGGACTGAGCGTATGTGGCACTGGCACGGGTTTAGCAGGCAGCAGAGGTGCTGCAGGGAGCTGTCACAAGGCTCTGTCCCACACAGAAGCGTGAGGCCGAGTTCGAAGCTGAGCAGGAGAGAATCCGTTGGGAGAAGGAGAAGGAGACAGCACGCTTGAGGGCCATGCAGGAGAGGGCCCAGGACCACCAGGCAGAGCAGGTGAGCAGCTTGCTGACATGCTATGTGCTCCCATGCTGGCTCACTTGCCCCTTTCCTCATCACTGCCCCAGCAAAGTGGGAGCTCCTCTCGGTGTGGTGGGTCTACTGGGGCATTGCAGGTCTGGACCAGCACCTGGAGACAGATGATACCCTGGAGCAGTGCTGGCCATGGCACTGGAAGAGAGGCAAAATCACACTGAAGTGCTTCCATACCTCTCCTCCTGAGGGGGGGTGTGCCTCCATGACCCCCCAGTGTCACCATTCTCCCCTTCGGCAGGATGCGCTGAGGGCCAAGCGCAGCCAAGAGGCTGCTGAGCGAGAGTGGCGGCGCAAGGAGAAGGAGGCGGCACAGAAGAAGGCTGAGATGGAGCAGATGCTGAAGCAGAGCCGCCTGGAGCAGATTGCTCAGCGGGAGCACAGCATGGCCGTGCAGGCGCAGCAGGACCGCCACGAGTTCGAGAGGATCCTCAGGTGAGAGGGACGGTGCTAGGGGCTCACCGGTGAGATGGCCGGATGCCTCTCTGCGAAACGGGGCTGAGGAATGGGTGACGCAGTGGCAGGGGTCTGCTGGAACGTGGCCTTTCATCTGCCCCGAGCTCTCCCGCAGGGCTCAGCAAGAGAAGATGGAGAAGGAGAAGGTGGAGGAAGCGCAGAGGGCAGGTCTGCGGCTCGCCCATGCTAACGACGTCCGGTGCCAGATGCGGGAGCGTCAGCAGCAGCTAGCGCAGGAGCGGGTGGCTGCCTTCGAGGAGTGCCAGCGGCTGGAGGAGGAGGCCCGCCAGCGCAGCCAGCGCATCACCCAGCTCAAGCAACAGAAGATGCAGGAGCTCAGGTGATGTGCTGCCAGAGGCCACTTAATTCCCTGCTTCCCGGCACATCCCTAAGTCCTTTCTGGCTTCCTACCATCTCCTGACCCCTGGGACACCTCACAGGTTCCTCTGCATCCTCATCAAACAGGACCCGTTCTGGGGCCACGGTCCTAAAGCTGGTCTCCGGTGTAGCACAGGGTGCCTGATGATTTCTTTCCTCTGCAGAGCTGCTGGCATCCCCGAGAAGTATTGTGCCCAGGTGGAGCGGAAGGCCCTGAGCCTAACAAGTGCAGCCCCTGGCCAGGCTCAGCCCCATGAGGAGCAGAGCTCCAGTTTCCCAGTGACTTAGAGGGTTCCATTTTCTTAGGCTGAGTTTTCTATGAACAAAGATGTTTATGGAGCAGACAGTGTCTTTCATCCTTCTCTTGCTTCAGGTTTGCGGGCCAGGAGTTGCCCTTGGGGCTGGAGTAGCCCAAAGGCTTGTTGTCCAAGCTGCCCCACTCACGGGACAGAGGTCGGCCCTTGCCTGTCTCCCCACATGCACTGGGAGAGAGCTGGCAGGGGCGGCCCGTGTCCTTGGAGGGGCCAGGACCATCCCCAGGTCCTTGGCACAGCTCGGTGTGTCCCAGCCTACGCGGGGTGGCTCAGGTAGGGTCCCCATCAGCCAGGCATGCTCTTTTCCACACACAGAGCCCTGGCCCCGGCTGTGCACAGCTGCATCAGCCCTGGTAGTGCCACCTTCTCACCGAGGTGTCACCTCCGGGCCCTGCTGCGGCAGCCTTCTTCAGGGGCAAAGCAAAGAGACCAGAGCATGATGCAAACATTTAAAATCCATTTGGATAGGGACTGGCAGCTTCAGAGGGCTGGGATCCTGTAGGAGTGGCTCTGATTAATTGTCAGAGCAGCTGAAAAATAAGGATTGCTGGGAAAGGCAAGACTGCCCAGGGCAGGGGGACAACTTGGAGGACTCTGCTGTGAGCCCTGAGTCTCCTCCAGGCTGGGTAAACGGGACAAAGCGCCACTGTCTCTTGTTACTCCTTCCTTGTCCCTTCTCCAGCTGCTGTGTGTCCCCTGGGTGTGACAGGGCCAGGCACTGTGCCACCCCTCCCAGGGCACGGGCTGAAACGTGGCACTGGCTCTGCAGGGCATCTGCCACCTCAGACCAGACCCTGAGCGAGCCCCCGCAGGGACGCTGGGGGCCTTGGCACCTGTGCCTGACCCACTGAGCATCTGTGGTGCTCAGTGCCAGGCTCAGCTGTCCATCCCCTGTGGCCACAGGCCAGCTGTGTCACTCTCGGTCACCGCCTCGGCCGGGCAGTCACAGCCGGGCTCAGCCCAGAGGGTTTTGAAGCCACCGCGGGGGCTGTGACCACCAGCAGGCCACCAGCCAGGGTGGAGCGGCTTCCCCACCCTTCCTGCGTGAGCGGGGCTCCCGGGGCCGAGGAATGCAGGAGTCACCGGGCCAGGGAGCCAGCACCGTGCCGGCTGGGAGCCCTGAGCCGTGGTGAGCCACGGCCCCGTCACGGCGGGAACGGCCCCGGCAGACGACACCCCTCGCCGCGTCGGTGCTGCCCCGGGGCCAGGCTGCGAACAGAGGCCCCAAAATCACAGACGCGGCGAAGCACGTGCTGGGTTCAGCCCCAGTTGCCAGCACGAGGCCAGTAAGGGTTAACTGGCAGCGGTGAGCTCAGCTTGGGGCCAGTAAATGGAGCAGCTCTTGGCCCCGGGGAGTGTTTGGGACCAGCTGGGCGGTGCTGCCGAGCTGGCTAGGGCAGTGATGTGGAAAGCACCAGCACGGCGGAGCTGTGCCGCGGGGCAGTGCACAGACCAGCCGGACATGGGGCCTGGGCCTGAGCCTGCCCCACAGCATCAGCGCGGCCCAGTGTGGGGCTCAGCCCCTCCGCGGGACAGGGAGAGTGCTTCATGGCTGGGGCTCCCCACGGGGCTCAGCGTCTCCAGGGTGGCCCCCAGCACCACCTCCACAGAGCATCCCTGCCCCGACTCCTCCGTCCAGTGCTGAGCATCCCTGTCCCCAGTGTTCCGTCCAGTGCTGAGCATCCCTGTCTCTAACTCCTCCACCCTCTACAGAGCATCCCTGTCCCCAGTTCCTGCCCTCAGATCCCAGCAGGTTTCAGCCCCTTTCTTCCTCCCTTCCCACTGCCACAGCCTCCTCCAGCTGCACCGCTTGTCCCCTCCACTGTGCGGAACGTGGCCTGGGATGTGCAGCCCCTGTTGCGGCCATGCCACAGTGTCCCCATGCAGTGAGCCATGGCTTGGAACACCAGCCAGGTTTCTGCACTGTATTTCATCAGTGCCACCAGCACCAGCATGGGCTTGGTGGGTGCTGTGGTCCCCACATGGTTGCAGCATCGCTGTGTCCGCTCACTGAGGGGGCAGGACCGGAGGAGGGATCTGCAGGAGCTTAAGCCCATGGTCAAACCACACCTTTAAGCTCTTCCAATTGCCCTGAGTCCTGCCCCAAGAACAAAATCCTTTTGGGACCTGCGTGGGGCCAACTGGCACTTCCAAGCAGCTTCAGTGCTTGGTCATGCTTGGGGTGCTGCTGCAGGGTCCCAGGCAGCCTTTTCCCACCAGCCACACTCAGTCCGACAGTGGCCACACCAGGGTACCAGCCACCGGACACCACAGGGTCCAGGATCCCCCCGATCCCGGCTCCGCTGCTCCGGGTGCCCCAGGATGTGCTGGTGCCCCCTGCCCACGCTGCCTGCAATGGTCCCCTGCCTGGGCTTAACTGGATGGGAGCCCATACCATGGTGATGCTTAATTACTGGGTAGGGAGTGGAGCAGGGCGGCATCGCTCACGCACAGCTTGGAGCCACTCAGTCATCCCAAAGGCATCCGCCCCACAGGGAGGAGCATCCCAGCCCAGCATGTAAAAGCAGCCCCGCGCGGCCGGCTGCCTTGTCGCCTCGGAGCCTCCTCCACTCCCGCTCTTCCTCACCGCCCGGCACGGCTGCAGCGTCATGGCAGGGCACGGCGCCAGCCTGCTCCTGCTCCTGGGTCTCATGCCAGGTAGGCGCTGACGGATCCCTGCACCTGGACCCTCTCCTGCAACTATGCTACCAAGGATGGATGGGTCCCTGCCCAGCCACAGGACCCCCTTCAGGGTGCCAGAGGCACCCAATGGTCAGCAGAGCACCTGCAGCCAGGGCTAGTCCTGCCCTGACACCCGTCTGTGTTGGCCAGAGCCAAGAGGGTGCCATGTCCCATTGTCCCCGATGCAGCTTCACAGGACCCAGATGGTGCCAACCCTGATGGGTGCTTAACCCCACCAGGACACCCAGCCCCTGCGGGTGCCTGACCCCAGCAGATGGGTTCCTGTCCTGCTCCCCATCGGTCAGGTGCTGCAGGACGCGGGGTCGGGTTACACTGGGGCACAGGTTCGGCGTGCTTCCCGGCCGGTGCGATGGGTGCTATTCTCTCCCCAGCTCTCCTCCTGGCTGTCAGGATCAACAGCAAGGGCCGGGAGGTGCTGTACCTGGCCAAGGGTGACTCGGTGAAGCTGGGATGCCCCTACGTCCTCGAGCCTGAAGACAACGGTCCCCAGGGTGTGGGCATCGAGTGGATCCAGATCACACCCGAGCGGACTGGCCCGGAGAATGTGGTGAGTGTCACTTGCCCCAGAAGCTGCCATCCCACCATGCAGGCAGGGCAGGCAAGACAGGCAGGGCAGGGATAGATCAGATGGAGCCCAGACAAGCACGCAAAGCCAGGCAGGACAGGCAAGGTCTGGCAGGACAAGGAAGGAAGGACCAGGCAGGGCAGCGAAGGACCAGGCAGGGCTTGGAAGGTCCAGACAAAACCCAGCAGAGCAGGCAGGACAGGCAAGGTCTGGAAGGGCAAGGGAAGGTGCAGGTAGGGCAGGCAGAGACAGGCAGGGTCTGTGAGTGCTGGGCTGGGAAGGACCAGTCAGGGTAGGCAGAGCCGGGCAGGCACCGGGCAGTGCATTTCCCTCCCCCGCTGGCAGCTCCGGGTTCCCCCACCTGGACCAGCCCTGACCAGTCTCCCCACTTGCTCCTCCCCAGTTCCTGTCCTACCATGACCACCACGTCAATTACGGCAGCGGCTCAGGGCTGCAGGACCGGGTGGCCTTTGTGCAGAACGACCCCAGCCAGTACGACGCTTCCATCCGCCTGGCTGACCTGCAGGTCTCTGACACTGGCACCTACCAGTGCCGGGTGAAGAAAAACACTGTGGCCGTGCATGAGGTCATCGTCACTGTGCAAGGTGAGCCCCCTGCCCCCCCCAACACACACACACTCCTGTGGCCCCCTCCCGGGTGGCCCCCGCTGGCCCTGGCACTGAGTGTGTCCCTCTCCCTGCAGAGAAACCAGCCACTCCACAGTGCTGGACCGAGGGGGAGCTGACAGAGGGGAGCAGCCTCCTGCTGCGGTGCTACAGCCGCGGGGGAACCTCCCCGCTCGCCTACCAGTGGGCCAAGCTGGCCGATGGCTACGGCGGGGGACGCCTGCCCTCTGGCACCATCCAAGGTGGGTGCTGGCGGGGCTGCGCCCACCCAGGGTGCTTCCCTGGGGGGGTGCAGGAGATGCTCATGGGTACTGTGTCCCTGTCTCTGAGTGCACCTAGGTACATGAGTGTCAGCGTGCACCTGTGTTCACGTGTGTTCTTGCCTGCATGTGCCCTTGTTCACATGTGCCCACGTCTGTGTGAGCCTGTGTCCCTGCACACCCATGTCCAAGGTGGGGGGATGCTGGCAGGGGTGGCGCAGTGGGACTGATGGGGCTGTCTCTCCCCACTGTAGGACGTGCTCCTGGCGACCTGATAATCCGTAGCCTCTCGGAGGTGCACGCCGGCATCTACCAGTGCCGCGTCACCAACCGTGTGGGCTACTCCATCTGCCAGCTCAACCTCAACCTTGCGACAAGTGAGTGCCACGGCGGCGGGGGGGACAGCACGGGCAGGGTGCTGCCAGGGGCCGGCTCTGCGTCTCAGGGTGACACCGGGGGCATGGCGACCAGTGGGCAGTCGGCGGGGAGGCCAGCGGTGACAGGCTATGCTCCCGCGGCAGGAGGAAGGCAAGCTGGCATCATCGTGGGCTCCATCCTGGGCTCCCTCCTGCTCCTCAGCCTGCTCGGGCTCCTTATCTGGGCACTGATCTGCCGCTACCGCCGGAAGGAATGCCAGCGGACATGCAGTGACTGCAGGTGAGGGGCACGGGAGCAGGGGACAGGCACGGGGCCAGCAGGCATTGGCAGATGCCACTGGGCACCGACAGGCATTGCTGGGTATTACTGGAGACTGATGGGCACTGCTGGGTGCCACTGGGGGCCGATGGGCACCCATGGGCACTGCTGGGTGCCACTGGGGGCCGATGGGCACCCATGGGCACTGCTGGGTGCCACCAGGCACTGATGGCCACCGTGGGTCACCTACGGGTACCGCCAGAAAAGGACAGGGACTAACAGGCACCAATGTGTGGCACTGGGTGCTGTTAGGTACCACTGGGAACTGCCAGGTCCCAATGGATCCCGGTGAGCACTGGTGGGTGCCATCAGTTGCTGATGGGTGTGGAGGGCACCGATGGGTACCAACGGGTGCTGACGGGTTCCACCAGGCAGTGATAGTAACCAGTGGGGTGCCAACGGGTGCCACTGGGCACTGCCGAGCATCCACAGGCACCAAGGCGTGCCACCGGGCACCGATGGGTGCCGATGGGTGCCACTGGGCACGGCCGAGCACTGACGGGTGCCGCCGGGGCTCCCCTCTGCCCGCAGGAGCAGCACAGGCGGCACCATGACCCGCACCTGCAACGTCTGTGCCCACAGCTACTCGCCCCACGGCATCAGCTACATGCAGTGCCAGCACGGCGACGGCGACGAGCGAGCAGCCGCCCTCATGTGCAACGAGGGCATCCGGCACCAGGTCGCCTGCCCGGCGCTGTAACCCCCCGCCTGCTCCGCGCCCACCCCTGCTCCACGGGGGGAGCAACTGCGAGCCCAGCGCCGGCAGCACCGCCGGGATCCGGCGCGAAGCAGCACAGGGCTGCGCTGCCGGGGCTCGCCGTGCAAATTGAAGTCAGGAATCCAGCTCCCTCCTCCCCCTCGAAACAGCCCCAGCTTCCAGCTAACTTCGTTTGGGTTCATCAGTCTGTTTTGTTGGTTTTTCTTTTTTTTTTTTTTTTGGCCCCTTTTTTTGTATGTCCCCCCCCAGCCACAGCCCAGCTCTCGGGGCAGCTCCCAGCCCCGCTCCTGGAGGCATCCCTCGCTCGTGCAGCAATATTTATTTCTCTCTGGCCCATCCCCTTGGCATCGAGCAGGGACGCAGCAGCCCCAAATCGCCCAAACTGGCTGCCCGGTTGCCTCCCGCCTCTGGCCCGGCGCTACTAGCGCCTCCGCATTGGCTTTAGCAATTGGGTGTTATTCGAGACGAGACGCCATTGGCACCAGGATTTGCAGTTTGGAACAAGAAAAAATGAAAAGAATTAAACTAAAGTGAAATCAGCGCTGTCCTGTCATGTCTCGCCCGTCTCTGGGCAGGTCCCGGGTGGTCGGCAGCACCACCTGACGGGGCAGTGGAGGGAAGCTCCTCCTGGGACGGGTCCCAGCACGCCAGGGCAGCGTCAGGACTCCTGGCAGTGCCCACCCTGCCGTCCTTGTGCGGACGCTGCTGACACGAACCCCATCACCCATGGGTGCCTCCTGGGGCTGCTGCCCGGGCAGCCGGATGGGACGCGGGGCGAGCTGGGACGTGCTGGGACACTGTCACCCAGGGCCTGGCAGGGGAGGGGCGTGGGACACAACCCCCAAGCACCCCCCACAGCGGGGGGGCAGTGAGACCCTCAAACAGGGAGCGAGGGCAGCCCCAAATGGCAAAGCTGCCCAGACCTGGGGTGCCCTAACCCCAACAGTAATCCTAACCCAGCCCGACTCTCACCCTGGCGCCGACCCTAACCCAGCAATAACGCCTACCCCAACCCCAGTAACCCCTAACCTTAACCCTGACCCCAGTAACCCCTAACCTTAACCCCAACCCCAGTAACCCCTAACCTTAACCCTGACCCCAGTAACCCCTAACCTTAACCCTGACCCCAACCCGCACCCCAGCACCCACCCTAACCCACACGTCAGTCCTCGCCCTCACGTTCACCCCAACCCAGGCGCTAATCCAGTCCCAACTGCTAACCCTGACCCTAGCCCACGGCGGCCCCGGGGATGGGCAGGGGGTCCCACGGCCGGGGGCTGCCCCGGGCCCACGGGCTCAGCCTTAACGCGACCCCCCGCAGACACCGGCCCCGCCCCCTCACCCCGGCCCCGGCCCCGGCCCCGCCCCCGGCCCCGCCCCCTCGCCGCCACCGCTCCCGTCTCGGACACCGGGCTCGCCGGCCCCCGTGCGACCACGCCCACCCCGCGTCCTGGCCACGCCCCCCTGAGCGTAGGGCCCGTCGCGGCCGCCAGGGGGCGCGCGCGGCGCGAGCTGACGTGGGGCGGTTGCCGGGAGACGGCGCGCGGGGCGCGATGGCGGCTCGCTACGGCGCGGGGCAGGTGGAGCGGGGGGAGCGGCCGGACCCCGGGCCCCGGCCCCGGCCCCGGCCCCGGTCCCACCGGCCCCGCTCTCCCCGCAGTACGAGGACGCCTTCAGCTCCCACCGCCTGCAGAACTGGAGCGTGGCCCGGCCCGGCCGGCAGGTACCCCCCGACCGGACCCCTCCCAGCCCCGGCCCGGACCCTCGGGATCCCCTCAGCTCAGGGCCAGACCCCTCCCGGGACCCCCAGAACCCCCCGGGACCCCCCTCAGCTCTAGCCTAGACCTCCCCGAGACCCCCCCCCGCCCCAGCCTGGGCCATTGAGACCCCTCGAATCCCCTCAGCTCTGCACCGGACCCTCCTTGGGACCTTCCTCAACCCCAGCCGGGACCCCCAGGAACGCCCACAACCTCCTTCAGTCCCAGCCTAGACCCCTGGAATCCCCCAAGGCGCCCCCCAGCCCAAGACTGGAGCCCCAGGGCCCACCCTCGGCATTGGTCCAGACCCCTGGGAGCCCTCCAGATCCAGCCTGGGACACCCCTTCTGTCCCATCCCGGACCCTAGGGACTCCCCTCAACTCTGGCCCAGACCGGGACCCTCCCCCCCAGTCTCTGACCCCCGCTTAGGCCTCCCAGCCCCGGCCTGTACCCCAGGGACCCCCACCCACACCCCCAATGCCCGCTCCCCCAGCACCCCTCGCTGCGGAAGGGCTGCACGACGATCGTCACTGATGACCGGGGGCACCTGCTCCCCACCGTTCCCTGCTCCCAGGTGAGCCTGACCCACAGGAGGGGGTGGAGGGGGCAGCTGTTGCCCCTCACCTGCACCGGGGGTCCCTGGTGCCCCAAAATCCTTGCCAGGCCCCGCTCTGCTCCCCCTCTTCCTCCCAGGCCTCCCCGTGGGGCACGTTTGTGGGGACCTGGGAGATGCCGCCGAGGATTCCCCCAGCCAGGCTGGACCTGACCTCCCGCTCGGCCGCCGCTGCCGCACGGCTCCTTGACTGGGTCCACCAACCCACCACCCTGACGGGCGCCTGCAATGGCCTCCGGACGGCAGTCACCGGGAGGGTAGGTGACCCTGTCTGGGGGTCCGGGGACAGCGCCCGTGGGGGCTCCAGTGTGGGCTGCTGACAGGCTCCATCTCCCAGAGGGGGCAGCTTCATGAGCTGGCACGAATCATGGTGGTCCCCATTCTGCAGGAGAGGGCTTCCAGGGCTGGGGACGGCCCACAAGCAGGTTTCAGGGGTGTTTCGTACAGCGAGGCAGCTCCCAGCGCTTGGGCCAGCACCTCCCCTTGCTCTAGGGGTGGGGCTCCCTCCACTTCACCCCAAATCCAGGCTGGTCTCCCTGGTGCTGGCAGGGTGCCCTGGCTGCAGTGCCGGCAGGAGGAGCTCGCAAGCCACTTCTCCCAGAGAAAAGCATCCAAGAATAGGGGCTTTCCTGATGTGGAGGGGTTCTTGGAGCCCCCAGGACACCATTTCCATTCCCTGATTTTCCCTGGGGACCACAGCAACGGTGCCTCATCCCTGGGCAGACCAGCACCTGCCCCAGGTACTGTGGTGAGCCCAGTACAGAGCCCGGCCCTACAGCAAACCCCTCGGCAGCAGCCAGGACTGACCCAGACCCACCTGCCCCAGCATTTCTATCCAGTCCATTTGCCCCCTGCTGCCCTCCTGTTCCCATCTTTGCACTGTGAGCATAGTGCACATCTTCCTCACGCAGCCCCAGGAGCCTCGGTTGGACACACAAACCTCCAAGGAGCCTTCCTGGAGGAGCAGTCAGGCACCCAGCGAGGGCATCCAGCCCTCTGGGGCACCGCTGGAGGAGCCGCCCAGCCCCAGAGCAGGAGCCACCCGGGAGCCTGGCTGCACAGAGGTCTGGCTGAAGGCAGACACATCCCCAGAGCTCCCAGCTTCATCCCATCCTTGCTCCTGGCAGGCCCAGCGTGACAGACAAGCCCCACGCTCCCACCAGCCTGCTGGGACAGACTTCCAATGCAGGGACGACGGCCAGCCCAAAATCCCAGCCTTGAGCCACCCTGCTCTGAGGGAGGCCAGCCCTCGGCTAGCCACCCCGCTGCAGGTCTCTGCTCCCAGCTGGGGGGGGCCTGCAGAGGCTGAGCCTGGGGAGGGTACATCCCCCAGGCTCAGGGCATCACCTCGTGCAGGACAGGGAGAGGCCAGTCCCCGAGGAAGCGCCGCAGGCATGAGAGGCAGGCAGCTGTCTCGCACCAGGCTCTGAGCTGGCTTTGCTCTCCTCCATTCCCCTTCCGGCATCTCCCCCAAACCATCCACCCCTTCCGACAAGCAGACAAACAGAAAACACCTTCCTACCCCCAAGGGGGAGGAAGTGGGAATGTGTTAAAGCCTGAGCAAGGCCAACACTGGGGCAGCACTACATGGCCTGCACTGGGGTTCTCATGGCAACTGGAAAAATACAGGGTTTATAAAAAAAAAAAAAAAAAATCCTGTTTGGTTTTGGCATCTCAGGGCAGAGCCCCAGGTGGGCCTGGGCTGCATGAGTGTGTGCGGTGCTTTGGTGTCAGACATGGTGCCCTCTCTTGGGCTGTATCTCGGCTCGTCCCGTTTAATAGTGCCTTGTGCTGGAAATGTGGAACCAGGAGCAGGCCTGGAGCCGCTCAGGGCTCACCCAGCCTCCCCCCATGCCGAGCAGCAGAAACCCCACCACTGCAGGCTGCTTTCACCCATTTCTCAACTGGGCTCTGGGAGGGTGGGGGTGCAAAGCAGGTCCAGCTTTGTTTCCCACCTGGCCCAGCCATGGGGCACTGCTGCCAGCCCCCTGCCACTGCTCACGAAAGGGAAATAGTCTGTGAAGAGCAGCTGAGAGACACAGCAAAGTCTAACTTTGTTAGCAGCTGGCACACACCACAGAATAGCTCATTAGCGAGCAGAAGTGGATTCCAAATAAAAGCCATTTCAGCAACTGCAGGAAGTAATTGGTTCAAAGCTAAAATACATTCATTTTTCACGCAGGAGCTCTCTCCTGCTGGGGCATGCAGCTACACTAAATAGGATTCAGCAGTGTCTTCTCTCTCTGCCACACTTGACAGCAGAGTTTTCCCTCCTTCATGATTTCTCATCTCCAAGGCTCTGCGTCCCCTCAGAGCCGAGACTCTGCTAATTAAAGGAGTAGCAGATTTGTTAGGTCCAGCGGGCAACCAGAGGAGCTGAGCAAGCAGCAGGGATGGGGCTCAGATCAGCAGAAGTAAAAACAGTCACGTGGAAGCAAGGCTGGCTCGTGCGAGGGATCACGGAGCGTGTTATTGGGACAGCTCCCCTCCTGCCACTTCTTCAGGTCTCCATCAAAAGCCCAATGAGGAGAGCAGATGTTCCCCATAAAGCCAGTATTTTGCTGGCCGGTGATGTGAATGGGAAGGAGGATCCTTTCTGAAACAGAGCCGAGACCCTCTCTGGGATAGAAAAGCAGGACAAAGCTCCTGATGGGGAGCGTGCTCTCTACAAAGCTTTGCTCCCAGTGGCAGACCTTAAAAAATGGCTAATTTGAGAAAAAAAGCTCCTGGGCCTCATACAGATGTTTGTACCAGTACAAACCACCTCAGTCCAGGTAGGAAATTCCTTTCTGCTGGGCTGGCAGCATTTCACAGACAACCCCACCCCACACCCACCACCTCCAAAGGTCAGGCACTACACCTGCCTCTAAACGCTGCACTTTTTCCATCGACCGGCTCCTTCAGGAAGCGGCAACTCCCTGAATCTCAGAGCAAAACACCCCTTCTTAGCTGACTTCACCTCAGTGAAGTGTTGTGCACAGACAAGAAACACAGTGTGAAGGATCAAGGCTGCTTTACTGCTAAGGTGGACAAGTGCTGAAATGAAAGGTGGTGGCAACACACGATTGGAAAATCAGGTCCCTCCCTGTGTGCCAGAGACAGAGTAACTTCCTAACAGGAAAATCAGACGTTTTTCACTGGCAGGGGCTCCAGGGCCCAAAGCTGACATTTTCAAGGATAAGGAGTGGGGATTGACCCCGAGCACCCTATTCCAGCCAGCTCACGCTGCCAGGCTCAGAAAGCACAGGGTTCTGTGGCTGGTGCAGCACCTGGACGGCACCGATCACCCATTCCCCTCACGGGTGCTGGCACTGGCAACTCCGCCTGCTCGCCCTGCCCTGGCACAGGCTGCCTCAATGGAGATGCTTGTCCTGCACCAGGCCTACACATGCACAAGCAGCCGTCCCCAAGCCCACTCGGACCTGCAGGGACACAGATTCAGCATTGTCTCAAGCTTGGGGACAGAGCAGAGAAAAGAAACGCCCTGGAGTTTGCCTGGAAGAAGCTAGGCAGCTTTCTGTGAGCAACTGAATATGCCAGGATCAGCTGTTAATTTGTGCCCAGCTTTCTGTGGCTGCTCGGGCACGTGGCATAGCAGGAGACAGCCCAGCCTGTCCCTGCACTGCTGAGAGGCGGTCAGCTCATCACCTGGGCTAATGAAAAGCAACTCTGATCATACAGGAGATTTGCGAGGAGGGGAATCGCCACCTTCCCCAAAGATTTGTAGTTACTTGGGAGCCTGTCCTCCCACCTCCCTTTCACACACATCTTGCGGTGGGCCAGGACGGAGCAAATCTTCCAAAAAAAGGGAGGCCGTGAACCGGGAGGTACCTTCACATCGCCGCGAGGCCCGCAGAGGAGAGCAGGGTCAAGACCAGGACTAGCACCCCAGACTGGTTGACCTGGGGGATCTTGAACCCCTTCCCCATGTCCCACGCCTGCAGGAGAGAAAAGACACAGCAGGGTTAATTCAACAGGGCTGGGAGGGTTCCTGATGGGGGATGTGCCAGATGCAGGCAGAAAGTAACCATCTTTCTGATAAAATCTAGCAAGACCACCCCCAAAAACAGCCTTTAGACCAATGGGTGCAGACTGGATGGAGGGCTACAGGCATCCAGCGGGGCAGGGCAGTGGGCAGGGGTCTCCCTGGGTGCAGGCAGGTGTGTGTCGTGCCAGAGGAAGCTTATCCCCCACCAAGCCCCTGCATCTATCGGCAAAGCTGCCCACGAGCTCTCCCTAATCCCCAGCAGCCTCAGCACGGCAGGTTCACTTCAAAAGCAGCAGCTGCTCTCCGCTTCTCTCCTGCTGACAGAAATAGGTTATAAAGCACGGCGCAAGCAGCAGATCTGAGGCAGTGCTGACGTCCCCGCGGGCAGAGCCTAGCAGCTGGGGATGAGCCTCAGCCCCCCACACCTCTGCGTACACCCCTGGGTACGGTGCGAGCTGTGGAGGCCCGGCTGAGCCCGGGGGGCGGGGAGGGATGCTGGAACGGCACCCTGCAGCTGGGTGTCCTCAGTTTCCAGGTATTGCAGGGGGGTTTGCACCTCTCCCCTGACTTCAGCCAAGCGAAAGCAGGGTGGCTGAGGGCGGCCTGCGGAGCACATGCCCCCTCACAGTAAGCCCCCAGGACTCAAAGCAGAGAAGCACCCGGGGCAGAGGCACTAAACTGAACCTGCTCCACGTTGGCTCCCCTTCTGCCATCGATGGTCTAGGCTGCTGAGCGCAGCCAGGGGCCAACACCACTGGTTTCCTTCTCAGACAATTTAATTGGCATCCTAATATATACATGCAGTCAGAGACTTCAGCACACATTCAACTCAAGACACTCTGAACTAGCAGCCAGTTATGACTGCTCCATTCGCCCAGCAGCATCTCCACAAGCGAGCAAGGCTCAGCCGGCTGCCAGCCCTGTGCTCCGAGACCTCGTCCAACGCCGAGTGCTTGAAAAGCAGGTAACGAGCACTGGCAGCACTGCTGTCCAGCCACTGCCTGCCTCAACGGGCTCCTCTCGCAGCACACGGCTGTTGTTCACCCCAACAGCTCAGCCAGGCACCTCCCGGCACTCTGACACCTCGTAACGGCTGCTCTTGGGTACAGGATACAACATTCAACAGTGCTCAAGTTCTGTGTTTCCACACTGGAAACACTGGGAGCCATCAGCGCCTGCAGCGTGAGTCCACGTCTGCAGCGCGGCGCCACACGTGACATTCCCTCTGCCCACAGCAGAAGGATTATGTCATGCTCCGGGCCAGCTGCCTTTGCAAATTTGCTCCCATAAAAACCTAACCTATCTGGAGCTACAGAAAACACAAAATCAACTACAAAAAGCAGCACATCTTGTACTGTTCCCAGCAAGAAACTCAGCGCTCTGGCTCCCCCTCCTTCATCAAACACAGGAAGCTTGGCTGAATGGAGCTGCTTGTTCCTCACTTCAGCCCAGGGCAAACATCACAGATTACTTTCTGCACAGGCAGCACTGTCTCCAATCCTCTGCCACACATCTTCTGGGCTCATTAAATAATATAAAGCACTCAGAAGATCACAGCACAATGGCTGCATGATGAGGGTGAGATGATAACGAGCAGCGGGTGGCACCACCACAGGTTTCAAGCCCGCAGCCTTGCAGACACGTCCCACAGCTGTAATGCTGTTCCTGCCACCCCTCACCCATCTCCCGCAGCCGAGGAGGTATCTGCGGGGGGATTTTTCAGCCAGCTGCACTGCCCAGTGAAGCACTAGAATAGCAATACTCTTTGCAACTTATACACGCCCAAAAATAGCACTGAAGTTCTGAAGCACTTGAGGTGACTAATTCCCATTTCCAAGGGCACCTTCTCAGATGCTGCACCCAGCACCCCTGCAGCCAGCAGATGCTTCCCTTCCCTCGCACCCCCGGCACCTCGTGGAGGCTACTCACAAGGTGTCGGACTCCATTCCAGGTGTGGTAGGAGAAGGGGAAAGCCAGAGCGAATTTAGCAGAGTAGATGAGAGCGGGCCCCAGGCTGAGCGACTTCACCATGGCCAGGTAGTGTGGAAACTGCTCTGGGAGCAGCAAGGCAGCCAGACCGAAGAGGGAGACTCCTGAGAAAGACAAAGCCCACAGGTCAAGCCAGCAGAAGCCTTTCCAACCCCTTGCTGCCCGCAAAGGGCCCCAAGCCACCTCCGTGTCTCTGGTTTGGTGACACAGCCTGAACCACCATCAGCTCATGGTGGCCTGCAGAGGAAGGAGGGAGAAGGGCTCTGCCTGCGTGGTGGCAGCACCATCTGCACTGTGACAGTGTGCCCTGGGGTGCTGAGGACTCAAACTGCGGCAGCAATGCCCTGAATCTGGGTCCTGCACTGGGGGCTGCATTACTCATACAACACCCAGAGACCACACTGGTGAGCTCATGCAATTGCAGCCAAAACAGCCCAAATTCAAGGTTAAAGGAACAATGAAATTTGGAAACGTAAGGTGGCAGCTCTTCAGCAAAGTCCCCCGGTCCACATCTTGGGACAGAAACCCCACCGATGCAGCAGCGATCCAGCGAGGCTGCCTCAACAGCAACCAGCAAAGGAACCGGCAGCCGAAGTGGCAGCCCGATGCGCGTGGCTGCACTAGCTGCAGGAGCCGCGGCAGCCTCTCCTCCTCATTTTTAGGCCAAGAGGGTTCATCCAGATGGTGCTGCCAAA